TTACCAAGCTCTAAGCACTCCACAACGCCTGCTTCAGCCACCTTCAAGGCTGTTGGAACAAATTGTCCTCATCTATCCACTGTGCTTGGGGAAGTCTTCACATTCCTAGAATAGATATCTCCCTAACTCACCAACTGGTTTGAGGCCTATCAATTACCCTCAGACTGGTTTAGCCAGTCTGCCAGGACAGTTTTACTGGGATGGCTACTGCGCAGCTTCTTGGAGCCACAGGTGAGAGTTGGATGGAAGGTGAACACAAAAGGTGGATAAGCAGCCCTGAAAAGGGCTCAGCAAGCCCTCACACCAGAGATGCTAGTCCTCCCCAAACACCCCATACACCCAAAGTGAATAAATGCAAAAACATAAAGTGGGGATATACAAGGTAGTCCAGAGGGAGGTCACCAGTGGCTGGGAGAATCAGAAAAGGCTGTGGGCAGATGTTCACAGTTCAGCCAGTGCCAAATGCATCCAAAGTACACACAGTTTAATTGGAAGGGAGCCAGGGAAATGCCTTAAGCCAGTAGGAGTATTTGTTTTCTTTGAGCTGTCACCAAATTTTTAGTTTTGTGAACTTTTGTGAGCTTTGTCAACCACATATTTGTAAGACAAGTTGGCAACAATATGTGAGGTGATAGCGGCAGCTAGGTGGCGTAGTGGATAAAGCACCAGCCCTGGAGTCAGGAGGACCTGAGTTCAAATCTGACCTCAGACAATTGACATTAGCTGTGTGGCCCTAGGCAAGTCACTTAACCCCAATTGCCTCACCCAAAAAAAAATATATGTAGGGTAACATCAGCTAGTGAAGTTCCCAGATTTTCTGGGTGGGAGCAATGAAGAAAAGAGTTGAGAAAAATTCCCATAGCCTCCACTATTTGGTGTTCATTCAAAAAAGTCATTGAATTCTTAAACCTGCCAACAACTGTTTATTGAATGTTCACTGTGCAAAAGGCACAGTTCAGGGCACTGAAGAACATAAATAAAACAGAACTCCTACCCTACAGAAGCTTAAAAACAATACAGGACGTCAATAGTGTGGGGAAATAAACAATCTCCTCTTCCATTTCAGCCAAGTTTGTTAGGCATACATTTTTTATTAATGTTAAAAACATTCTTCTTGGAAAGATCATGATCATTTTCTCCCAAATTTAAAGTGGAAAAGCCCTCTCTGTTTAGTAGTTTCCAACATAATTTATAGTAATCATGAAACAAAAGATGAGGAAATACAAAGAAAAAAAAAAGATGTTGCCCTCAAATTGCCTACATTCTTTTCATGATTCCAGAAGATTTAGAGATATATCCACATATTTGACTCCAGTCAAACTATTATGGCATATACCAACAAGTAAAATAATGAATATGTATGGGCTTAGTTGATTGTGTTTGCTTGTTGGGACTTAGGATTGAGTTTACTGAATTGGGTCCATAGATCTCCTTCATGGTTCCCACTTTTCTCTCCAGCCCCTAAGAGGGTCTCTCTATGGGTCTATTCTTGGACCTAATTTCTTCTCCCTTGACAATCTGATCTACTACCATGATGTCAATTATCATTGTTCTGTATATGATCTCTCTTCCTTAGGTCTTATTTTCAGTTCCTCTTGGACAGTTCCTCCAACCTACACCCTAAACTAAATACATCAAAGTCGGAATTAATCATTGCCTTTCCCCCTAAAAAAAAGGGCCCTTTCTCCTAACTCACCTATTTTTGTTGAGAGCGCCACCATCACACACCTTCTGCTAACTTCATTAGGGCCAAACTGACTTACTTTCTGTTTCTTGTGTGCGGTATTCCATTTCCCATTTCTATACCTTTATATAGGATGTCTCCATGCCTGGAATGCATTCCTTTCTTATCTCAGCCTCTTGGAATCCCTGGTACTAAGCGTCAAAACTTTGGAATCATTACTCTTCTATATTCCTCACACACCCCAATATACATCCAGTGAGTCACCAAGTTTTGTCAAATTTATCTCTGTAATGTGTCCTGTATCTATTCCCTCTATTACATTTCCACTGTCACCCTACCTAATGTAGACCTTTATCACTTCTCCCTGGGATAGTATCCTAACTGGTCTCCTTGTTTTTGTCTCACCCTTCAACCCATCCTTCACATTGCTGGCAATATAATTTTCCCAGTGAATAGACCTGATCCCATTACTTCTTTTCTAAAAAACCAGGAGTTTGCCCTTATTACTTATTTAACAAAATACAAATTTTACAGCCTTGAGTCAATACCTTCAATAATTTCAACACTTATTATTACCATCACCTTCTTTCACAAGCACTATGTTCCAGCCACAGCTTTAACCAGGAATTCTTGCACGAGGGGCAAATTCAAGTGATGTGGGATATAACATACAACTCAGAGGACAATCTGCCCTAGGTGCATCCATGCTAAAAGAGACTTTCTGTATCCCCCAAAATCTGGACTATACCTCCAAGGCATGACAAACAGATCCTGAACTCCTCAGTTCTCAGAAGAAGGTAGAGGAGTGGAAAGGTGAGGAAAGGTGGACCCTAGAAGAGAGACATGACATTGGACCCCTGAATGATAAAAGCCCAGAAAAGTGGGAGAGAATAAGAAGAGCTATCACACGTGGCACAGGCTGATGGAAGATTACAAGGCTTAGGCCAGAAGATGGATCAGAAGAAGATTGTCTCAGGGAAGAAACATTTCCTCCATCTACCACAGTTTTTTGTGCCATCAAGCAAAGCCCAAATCACTCCACCTTACAATGGACTCCAGCCAAATTAAATGACTCATCATTCCTTCTACTTCCCAATTCCATGTTTACATTCATCCTGCCAGGCTGGAATGGATTTCCCCACCTCTGCCTGTTGAAATCCTTCTCTTCCTCCAAGGGGTCTAGACAGATGGCATCTCTATGATGAAGCCTACAAATACAATTGATCATCTTTTCCTTACAGATTAACACCATTCTAGATACACAGGACAGATCCAACAATCATCTTCTAACATGCATTATGTTTATTTTTGAATAAATCTTATATTCTTCATATTAGACAGTAAGTGGCTTGAAGAAAGGGACTGCATCAATAATTTTGTTGAATTGTTTATTTCTTTGGTTTGACCAGTCTGTACTCTATTTACATACAAACAATATTTTGGAACAGTTTAATACAAACTTTGAAACATCATCAGATCTCTAACTTCATCAAAGTGGGGATTCCCTCTACCAGTGCAGATCACCACCTCATCACACATTCTCACACTTGAAATTCTTGTACATATCCTTCTACCATAAATCCTCCAACAAGGACCTACACAGTGTCCTACAGGCCTTTCTATGGTTCTTTCATTTTTTTTTGTAGGAACCAGTGCAACAATGGAGCTGAACATCAGTTGTCTATCATTCTTGCTGCATGATGGCTCCATCCCCTTTTCCATTTATAAATTTTCTCAATATCTTTTATGCAACCTCTCACTTGCAATATTTTAATTAATCCTGGCTACAAATATAAATGTCTCATTTCTATCACCACATATATGAGTTCTTTTCTTTGAAATATATGTAAAAATGGGTCTCAATATGATTACCAATATATAAACAATTTTACAAGTCCAAAGGAACAGCATGTTTATTATCATAATAAAAATACTCACACTTTGCCTATTGTCACAATTTTGTTTCTACTTCAGATGGCTATCCTCACAGCCATCTTCTAGTGAATAACATATTACAAATGACATGGCAGAAAAAAAGGTGCTTCAAGCAAAATGATTATTCTACAATTTTAGCAGGAAAGCACATTATCATCTGTCTTTTACTGTACTCTTGTCTGAGTGTTTTTTTTAGCTATTTGAGTGGCTTTCCTCACTGAGTAAGTTGTATTCAATCACTGGATTCAGTACATGCCATCAAGCACTCACGAGCTTATGACCCATGCTGTGAAATTGATCAGGAGCCAGAGCCAGTGGACCTGAAGTCTATACACTGGTGGGCACCTCTCTCTTTCCTTTGTGGGAAAATGCTAGAAATATTTCCTTGCAATTTTTGTAGATTTCTGTTCCACATGTCTTCTGAGCATTAGGAAATGGGCAGAAGAAAAATAAATTACTAGGGAAAATAGGAGTATAATAATGGTTTCCATGCTTCCTAATTTTATTATCAAACCAGTCATTTTATACTGAAACACAAACTCATATGGAAAAAGTGGCTACTAAGGTGACAGAATGGAAATTACCTAATGATTTGTTGTTTGAACTATAAAACACATAACCGGGCACACTGAAGGCCATAGTCTATATTAAAATAACATGGAGAACAGACGTCGTAACTTAATATGATTTTTTTAATGGATTGGATTACCCAAATAATCTGGTTTGGCCCAGATTTTCCACTTTGTTTTGTATGCATAGGCCGTCTGAAGAATGATGATTTCTAAAAATATGTATGCATATATATTTGTATGTACACATACGTGTGTATACATATATATTATTTGTATTTATGCATTCATTCTTTTGTTGATTCTTAACTATGTTCATTCCAGAGATTATTGAGTCAATGGTGTCAAATCATTCAAAGTGATAATTATCTTTTGAACACGTGGTCAAACTTTGGCATATGCACAATTTTGCCCAAAAGTATAGACACACATATGGTCATTAGATTGTAAGATCACCCAAGTAGATTATTTAGTCCAATGGCTGGCCTGTACAGAGAAGGAAACTGAGGCTAGTTAGTTATTGGCCAGTAGGACTCTATCCTTCTTCTCTTCTCTTCTCTTCTCCCTCTACACTCTCTTACTCAGCAATCTCATCCACTTCCAAGGAACAATTATCAGTTCTATGTAGATGATTCTGAGATAGACAGACAGACAGATAGATAGATAGATAGATAGATAGATAGATAGATAGATAGATAGATAAAAGTTCTATGCAGATGACTCTGATAGTTAGCTAGATATATCAGAATTATCTGTAAATATATATGTTATATATGTTTATATAAATATATGTGTGTATTCTGTGTGTGCATATATGTGTGTGTATCCAGCCCTAAAACCTCTGCTAAAATAAAATCACACATCTCCAATAGGCTCTTGGACATCTCAAGTTGGATCCCCATAAGCATCTCCAACTCAATGTGTCCAAAATGGAGCTCATTATCTTTATCCCCAAAGCATCCCCCTTTCCAAACTTTTCTATTACTTTTGAGGATACCACCATTCTCCATCATTCTAGACTTACAAACTTGATATTATCCATGACTCTCTAGTTTCACTCACACCAAATATGCAATCTCTTACCAAATCTTGGTATGAAAGTTTATATTTTTACATTTCTGATATATCCCCTTCTCTCCACTCACACTACCACAACTCTAGTTCTGGTCCTTATCACCTCTTGCCTGAACTATTGCAAATGTCTTCTAGTTGATCTCCCTGTCTCATCTCTCTCCACTCCAAACCATCCTCCCCTCAGCTGCCAAGATAATTTTTCTAAAGCATAGGCCTGCCCATATCATCACCCTATTCAGTGAGCTCCAGTCACTATCAACTTCCAAAATTAAATATAATGTGCCTCAGCTTCTTCATCTATAAAATGAGACTGGACTAGGTCTCTCCAGATTTGAAATTGATGACCTTGATTTGGGTGATTTGTATACACGTGTACAGAAGGGACAAACCTCAATCAGGGGAAACTCCAGGTCTGGCACATGTATGAGCTGTGAGGAAGCCCAGACCAGAATAATAACTCTTAGGCCTCCTCTATTAGTATCTAGTGTCCAGAGAGAACTGAGTATCCTTAACATCTGAGAAAGGATAGCAGGAGAGCCAGAACAGATCAGCGATGAACACCAGCATGGAGTGAGTACAACTGGAGGAGACACAGAGAAGGCTTCCTAAGAGACCATAGCAGCCTGTTAGTCTCTGAATATCTGGTGGGAGCAACCCATCACAGAGGACCAGGACAGCTGGAACTGGACTTCCTGAGAATAACAGCACACACAGGAACTGTCTGATGTAATCAATGTAGGCTTTGGATAGTAGATTACCAACAGGGAGATGGTCTGGTTTAAGCTAAGTTTTGAGGGAAGCCAGGGATTCCATGTTCAAGAAACCAAGGCCCAGGGAAGTATAGTTACTTGTCCAAGGTTACATGAGTAGTTAGTGTCAGAGGCAGGATGAGGAGAAAATAAACGTTTGCTAATTGAAAACAATTTTTTTTAATTATAGGTGAAAAAAGACATGCCTTTAAAATATATGCTTAGAAATATGAGTTATAAGGAAAAATTTGGAAGCTAAAATGATCTAATTTATTAGCAATAGGTAGCATATGAGATCACCCACAGTGATTACAGAATTAGAATATGATATCTACTACTAGAATAAATCTGAATGTATATGAAAGTAAATGTTCAAAGTAACATGTTAAGGCTCATTCCTTTTCAGAAAGGAACAAACTCCACAAAAATCACAAGACTCATTATACTTGATTCCTTCTGATTCTTTTGGCATGCTGCATTTCATCCAGGACATTTCTCACAGACTCCACACAAACTTCTCCCTTGTGATGTTTCTTAGAAGCCAAATTCCACACACATTCAAAGTTCTCATCAGTAAGGTTGACACCAATATTCCGTAGTATCTGGGCAATCTATAAAGATAGCATTTTAAAATAAGTGCAAGTGTTATCTCAAAAATCAATATAAATAAAGTGTTCGGCCATGTCTATGCATGATAGAGAGGAAGGCAGTAGGGACCAAGGCTCAAAGACACAGTAGCTTTTGTTTAAGATAGTTCGGATTAACAGACACTCAGGGATAATGAGAAGAGAGGAAATAAAAGGTAGAAAAGAAAAAAGGAAAAGGAAAATGTAGGGTTACAAAGAAGGATGAGAAGCTAGAGAAAGAAAATAAAAAGTCAAAGGAGGCTTACAACTGTGAAAACATTAGGGGAAAGGGGAAACAAAGGAAGAGCAGAGACTGGGAACAGAGAAGAAGGCAAGAGAAGGGAGGGCCAAAAGTTAGCAAAGGAAGGCAATCATGGGCGGTATCAAATCAATTTGAAACAAAACTGGAATAATAAAAGAATAGTTCTGGAAATCCTCTTTTAAAAAAAAAAGTACCATCATAAATCAGAGAAGCAGACACGTCTGCCTTTGCAGAAGAATGACAATACCCCACCTCATTTTCTATTTCATTCACACTCAACAAGAGATAAGTAAGGTGATTGTTGTTGTTGTTCGGTTGTCCTACTCTTCATGACCCCATGGACCAAGGCACTCTAGACCCTTCTATCCAGTGAATAGTCTGAATTAATTTAGGTGTTAACTAATTTGATCTCCTTGCTATCCAAGGGACTCTCCAAGTCTTCTCCAGCACCACAATTCAAAAGTATTGATTCTACAATGCTCGGTTTTCCTTATAGCCCAGTTCTCATAGCCATGCACTGCTACATCACACTGGTCAAAATAATGGAGTCTTTCAGAATTTGTATTCCACATGCCAAGCTTCTCTGGGGGCCTTTCCCCTCATCAATGGCAACCCAATGTAGACTTTATCTTTCAGGTGCCAGGTTATTATCTATAGTTTGTTGCTTGACACATTCTATGGGACTAAAATGGATGTATACTTAAGTCTTAGCTTTCCTTCTCTTTAAGAGACTGGTGTGGCACAATGGGAAAAGAGCTGGATCTGGAATCAGGGAACATTAAATAATAACTAAAATAATGTCAAATGTGCAAAGAAAAGTTCTAGAAGTCCGAAGTTCACAGGAATTGGGTGGGGGGGAGCAGATAGAAACTGAATTATGTTTAAAATAGTTGGTGAAAAGGCCCAACATTTTCTCAGAATAGGAAGGGACAAGAGATGTCTACTGAAATATCCATGCTAAAGAAAGGGATACAGGCTCTTTCAATCCCAAGGGCATCCCAGAAATAAACCTCCAGGAACCTTAGTGGGAGCTACCACTGGCCTAGAGGAAAAAGACCACAGACCATCCCTTCTGAATTCTTTCCAGTTTACTCTAAAAGTAATAACTCAGATATACCTTGAGAGACATCTGAATAGACCCAATATGATTCCAAGGAGGAGTCTCTTTATATATATATATATATATATATATATATACACACACACACATATATATGTATATATATGTGTATATATATGTATATATGTGTATATATGTGTATGTATATATATGTATATATGTGTGTATATATGTATATATGTATATATGTATATATGTATATATGTATATATGTATATGTGTATATATATGTATATATATGTGTGTCTATATATATGTGTGTGTGTGTGTATATATATATATACATATATATATATATACACCATCTGTTTACAATGCCTAAAATTCCTATAATTTTCTACAATTAGGATCATTGATAGAGATTTGGAAGAGAACTTAGGGCTGTCTAGTGCCCTCTTTTTACAAAGGACCAAAGCCCTGTTAAGGTTAAGGGAATTACCCAAGGTGGCAGAACCAGGATTTGAACTTGAGCTCTCTGATTCCACAAGGCAGGAGCAGTACCATTGGAAAGTGAAATTGATTGTTTTTAAGCATACATAAAATACTTTTTAAGAAGTAGAGGAAAAAGTTAAGCTCCATAGTGAATATATGGGGAGAAAGAAACATTTCCTATCATAAGGTCAATTTGACAAACTTGGGAATTTCTGTCAGACAAGGAGGACCACACACCACAATGGCTGTGACTTTATGCTTACCCAACACCCTTGCTGAAACCACAGGTAAAGTACCTGTGAAATGAAATCACATATTGATGTACCAGAAAGATCAGACCTGGAACCAGAGCTCCAAGAGCTTTTTTCTTCTTTTCCTATTTGTTTGGGGTTTTTTAACTTTTACTTTTAGTTGTCCTGTTTTTGATGCATTTTAGATACTTAAAGATTTAAGTGTACACAAATGATTTGTTAATACATACAGATCTATTCCACTTTTCTTTTTCCATAGCTATGCAAAACCTTCACAACCAAATTTAGGGTTACTCAAAAGGTTCTGTGCTTCCAAAAAGCTTCAACTTTTTTTGTTTTGTTTTTTGAAGTCTAAAAAGGAAGATACAGATAGAATTAATATTTACTTGATACTTTGAAAAAAACATACTGTACCTCATCTTTTGTTCTAGCCTTAAAGAAGTCTTTTTCAAACACTCCCTTTTCACTGAAGATGGATGGGTATAGCAATGTATAGGCAGTACCCGAATCACCATAATTGGTTCTGTCGCTAACTCGTCGGTAACGAGGGGAAGCTATGTCAGAACGAATCGTCGGGACACCACACATGGGAATACCTACAAAATGAAAATTCATGAGAAAAGGGAACAAAATCTGCAAATTAGTAGGGGGGAAAAAAGCTCACATCAAGAGAGGAGGCATATAATAGAGAATATTTGACTGAGACTCATTCATATTATAATGGAAAAAGTCATATGGAAGTCTACTACAGACCTCTTGATCAAAAAGAAAAAAGGAATGAGTTTAAGAAACAGATAACAAACTTGGCAAAGAAGTACAACACTGAAATGACAAGGGATTTCAGCTATCTTGACATTTGCTAGAGTGCTCTCGACTCAAAGCAGAATGGCTAATAATTTCTTGATTTGTCTTAATTTTCAATAAAAGGGGAACAGCTTTTCTGTACCTGATGACTAATAAGGAAGGACTAATTAATGAAGAAAAAATTCCAGGAATCACGGAATCAGGAAATGCCAGAGAAAGAAAGGGCCTCAGAGTCCTACCATCCAATCCAATCTGACCTGACCAAGAATCCCCTCTACAATATCAGTGACAACTGGTCAACCAGTGGAAGTGAAAATAAGTAGAAACCTTGGAAGAAAGTGACCCTAAGAGTTTAGGATGAATAAGAAAGGAGTCTCTTTGCATAATCAGATGTACTCTATATTTTTGAAGGGTAGATTTGGGGAAGTGCAGAGAGAGGATTGGTAGGTACCGTGGTCTTAAATTCCATAGGAGATCCTAGTTCTGGAAGTATGGCGTATCCTCAAGAAAATAATTCTGACTTAACAGCTACAAAAGATTCAGAAGAAGGAAGTGTATAAAAATACTGAGGTAAATAGGAAAATATTTCATTGGCTGTGCTGAAATATGCATGACCCTGGCAGGTAACCTCCCAGCGCCCCAGACAACTATCTAATAAATAATCTAATAAACAACTATCTATAAATTGAAGAGCAGGTAGAAATCTGTGTTAGTAAAGTTAGGGAGTTCCCTTTACCAATGAAATCTAAGTCCTATCCAAAAAAGAAAGAAAGAAAGAAAAAAGAAAAAAAGTTATTCCACTGGCCAACAGAGATTTTTTTTAAGGCATATTTAGAAAATTGAAGCAAAGACAGTAAAATTAAAGATGAATACAATACAGTAACAATCCCTGAAAAGCAGTGTCAGGAGCAGTGAAGGTCAACATGAGCTGAGGTTGGCAATAAATCTAAGGACAAGGAAGAGAACAGAAGGGCTAGGCCTACTACTGGGTGGAGGTGGGGGTGGCGCAAAAGTAAAGGATGGTGAAAGACAAGACAGACAGTTAACATGGTGCAGCAGAAGGTTAGCCAGAAACTACAGTCAAAAGATCTGGGTTTGAATCCTGGCACTGCTGCTTTCTTACTTGTGTGACCTTGGGCATCAGTTCTTCATCAATAAAATAAGAGGGGCAGACTAGATCACCTTTAAGGTGCCTTGCAGTTCTTAATCTATCAACAACTCAACTCTTATTTCACTTGTATTTTCTCTGCCAAGGAAAAACATCTTTGAACCAAAAGGATAGGACAAAAATGGTTAACAGAGTGGATGCTAAAGGTAAGTGAAGGGGTGATGAAAACACCTCACCATTCTCAAAATGTTCGAGGCAACAGACCAGAATGACAAGCTCCACCCAGGGTCCTGAAAGAACTTTCTAAAGTGACTGCTGGGACATGGTCAATGACCTTTGGCATCCCAGCTGCCTAAGGGCTTGAATGGGCCAATAGCCCAGTTTTCAAGAGTGGGAAGAAGTTGGATTCTCCCAACTACGGGGTGCTGAGCTTCACTTTGACTGCAAAATTCTAGAGCACTTTTTAAAGGAATGGTTTATGAATACTTAGAAAGGAAATTGTAACCACTAAGAGACAGTACAAGTTCAAGAATGTCAAGCCAGACTGATGCCATTTCCTTTATTCATAGGATTCAAGCCTGGATTTTATGGAGGAATTGGACAAAGTCTCTCATGTTATCTGTGCACTAGATTGAGATATGGAGTCTGGGTATTAGATAGTCAGGAGGATATGAAACTTGTAGGGGAAAAGAAGAAGGGAAGGAAAGAGGGAGGGAGGGAGGGAGGGAGGGAGAGAGGAAAGAAAGAAGAAGGAAGGAAGGAAGGAAGGAAGGAAGGAAGGAAGGAAGGAAGGAAGGAAGGAAGGGAGGGAGGGAGGGAGGGAGGGAGGAAGGATGGAAGGAAGGAAGGGAGGGAGGAAGGAAGGAAGGAAGGAAGGCACAGGAGGGAGGAAAAGAAGGAAGGAAAAGAGGAGAGAGTCACCAATCTACAGAAGTTTGATGATAGCAATGGTGGTCATTGCCTTGGTCTAAAGTCAACTACTCTTAACCTGTAGTGATATAACTAGGGCAGGGCAAATAGGACTTTGTTCCAGGCTATTAAAACTTAGAGGGGCATATACCCTCTCCTAGTGGACTTCCAGCAAGCTTTCCTCCTCTCCTCCAGCTTCTACCTGGTAAACATGATGGCCTCTTACATGGTTCTCACTGCATCCTGGCATAAAGAGAAATGACCAGTGCTGCACCTTCTCCAACTACCAAGCCTCCCTGGAGGTCACCTACTTCTCTCCTCCACCTCCTTCTAGGAGTTAGCAGATCAAGTTCATTTCAGGGGTATAAGCCGGGCTCTATGGGTGAGAGGTCCCCTGCCCTGGCATTAATGAACACAAGTAGCTTGCCTGAAAGCCACCATGCCACAATGAAAATGAAGGACAGTGAACTCTGGAGATGGAATTCTGAGGCCTTCCTGTGCACCAAATGGGCTTCACCAATGCCTAATCTCACCCTGCTCCCTGCCCCAGCAGCAAGCCCCCAAGGAGTGGCCTGGAGCAAGGAATCTCACTCCCTCAGGCTTTTCTTTGGGATCTGTCCCCCACCCCTGCCTTCTCCACCCCCTACCCTGTACTTTCCCCAAGCATGGAAATTTCTAGTTACCATTCTATGGATCTACAAATATTATGTATGTTAATATCGACTTAACATGGATAGATTTGAGCTAAAGCATAAAGCTCATTATTCTTTCCTCCTCAGTGGAGAGATGAGAACCTCTCTCCCTCTACAAGGTCTCCTTCAGCTCTCTGAAGATGCGCATGATGGACAAAGGAATTATGGGGCTGGAAACTGGCAATGACAGTGAAGGACAGAGACAGTCAGTGCCGGAGACCCTTGGGAGAGAATACGCTCTTAGGGGATGTGGCAATGGATCGAACAATTTGGAATTATGCAACAGTAACAACCGTTCATGCCCTTTGACCCAGAAACTCCACTAATAATAATAGGTAACCTTCACATAGCATTTAAAGTTTTACAGAGCATGTTAACTATATTGTATCACTTAATCTTCACAACAACCTTATGAGGTAGGTACTATCATCCCCATTTTGCAGATGAGGAAACTGAGGATAAAAGAAGTTATGTGACTTCCCCAGAATCACACAACCTACTATATATATAAGGCAATATTTGAACTCATCTTCCTGACTCTAGGTGCAATGCTCTATCCTTTGTAACACCTAGCTGTCATTGTAACACCTACCTGACACTACTAAACAATTACCTCAAAGAGGTCAAAGGCATGAAGGTCATGTTCTCTGTCTCTCTCTCTCTCTGTCTCTCTCTGTCTGTCTTTCTCTGTGTCTGTCTCTGTCCCTGTCGGTCGTCTGTCTCTGTCTCTGTTGTCTGTCTGTCTGTGTGTCTGTCTCTCTCATTCTCATATACACATTTGTATGGGTATACATATATACAGTCAGAGCAAAAATTTTTGTGATAGCAAAACACCCGAAACAAAATATCGTGTGAATGTCATGAAATTTTATTTGGGCCATAACAAATGTTGAAGAAGAACTCAGACAAAAACACAGGAATAATAATAGCTAAAATATATACAGCACTTTAAGGTTTGCCAAAAGGACATGTTAACTTATTTGATCCTCTCAACAACTCTGGGAAGTAGGTGCTCTTATTACCCCCATTTAATAGATGATTAAACTGAGTCACCAAGAGGTTAAACAGTTTGCCCAGGGTTACGCAGCTACTAAATGTCTGAGGCAGCATTGGTACCCAAGGTTTCTTGTGCTCTGTCCACTGTACCATATGTTTTGATTGAAGAGAACTTGCTACTTCCTGGGGCATCCAGTTCCACCTCTGGCTAGCTCTTACATCAAGCATAAGCTTGCCTCTCTGCAATTCCTCTTCCTCCCTTCCCCCTCCAATGCCATTATAATGGGGTGTATGAAGCACTAGAGTGAAGCCAGCAGAGCCAGGAACTCAGTCTCCACAGTGACTACAACGATATAATTTCAAGAGCACCAAAATGAAAACCTCCGAGCAATTCTAAAGCTCAATCTTGGCCCCAAAGATGAAGAAATGCACTTCCATCCTTTCTGGAGAGAGCTGGTAGGTGACTGTGAATGTGTAATGTTGCAGATACTTCCAGCAGCCATCACTGCATCAACTGGCTTTTGAATGACTCATCATGAATAAGAGATCTGGAAATTACTCTGATGGAAAGAACAAAAGGAAAAAGGAGGAGGGAGCAAAGGGAAGAGGAATGAGGAAGAAGAGGAGACTGAGGAAAGAGGAAAAGATGAAGAAGGGAGGAGGCCAAGGCGCCAGCAACTGGGAGGGAACCAAAGAAGGCATTTAATCCTCCCCTTGCCAAAGTAATTGATGTCTACTCTATTCTCAAAGAATTCTGGGATGGGTAAATACCCTTCATAACTAATCACAGTGAAAGTCAAATTTTTATAAGATGTTCATTTTGCTAAGCTCCTGATTTGCCATTGTTTCAGCCTAGCTAAAATACAGAGAATGTTGTCTTGATGTTTCCATGTGTCTCTTAGTTCTTTAAAAAAAAAAAAGTCTAATATACTCACTCATTGGAGAAATGCCTCCTACAACTGAATTAATCTGAGAAGATGATGTTTTATAATCAGCAAATACTTTATCTGTTGGTCGTGAGAGAGTCAGAGGAGTTTTCATTGGTTTCCCAGGTTCTTCTTGTACAATATCTTCAGGTTTGATCAGAGGAGAGACCTGGCCCTCTAATTCTGTACCAGTAATAAGGAGGCACTGAGGATCTTCTGACATTTTTTTCCCTTTTAAAAAAACAGCAGAAAATGTCTACTGTGATCAGTACCAAGCATTTCCAGCTGCCATTACTTAGGGTCAAATGATGAAATTTTCTACTTCTTGCCAAAGTCAGTCAGTTGTTTACAAAGGCTTACTATGTACCAGGTACTGTGCTAAGCTCTGGGGGGAAAAAATGCCCCTTGCCCTCAAGTAGCTTCCATCTTTATTTTTCTTGGGATTTTTTGAGGCTGACTCTCCCTAACTTGTCCAGGCTGGAAATACAATGGCCACTCATGGGCCAGTTCCAATACTGACGATCAGACCAGCTTTAGCTAGCTCCATTTTTCCAACCAGGAAAATCTGCCCTTCATTATGTAGCCCTCCAATCCTGGGATCACCATATTTGTGCCATAGTGTGGCAATCAGCATAGCCCACTGCAGCTCAGAGCTCCCAAACTCAAGTGATCCGCCAACCTCAGCCTCTTCAGCAGGGACCGCAGATGTGAGCCACTCCTGGCTAAGTAATGCCATTTTAATGACAACATTTAAATAACTTGGTACACACAAAATACATACAGAGTAGATGGAAGACCATCTCAGAAGGGAAGGCATTAGCAGCTGGGAAAACTAGGACAGACCTTCTATAGAAGATGTAGCCTTTCCATCTTGCCCAGGCTAGAAGCCAGGGGCTACTCACAGGCCCGATCCAATCACTGACCAACACTGAAAGCTTGGATCTGCTCTTTTTCCAACTAGAGCATGATTGTCTTCTAGGCAAATGACTGGCCCTCTGTCCCCAGGGGCTCACCACACTGATGTTGTACTTAACGAGGACACCCAATGGGCATAGCCCACTTCCATTCAGAGCTCTGGTGCTCAAGAGATGGGGCAGCCTCAGCCCTATTAGAAATGGGAAGCACAGGCATGCACCACCAGGCCAAGCTTATCAATGCTTTTTTATCCATTCATTCGAACCATTTTAAAAATCACATACCTCGGATGAGGATCTTTTCTTCAAATTCCTTAATGGGTAGTTTGTCTTTCCAGTTCAGAAAATTGGTGAATTCTTGGTAGTTAATTTTGCCGTCCTTATCCAGATCACAATAATCCAACAGTTCATCCAGAAGCACCTCATCTAGTTCTAGGTTCATCTGAGAACAGGCTCTCTGGAGCTCTTGTTTGTCTATCAACCCATCTCCTTTCTGTTAGAAAAAAGGTAAAAAAGCAAAAGCATGTTCTGCTCCTACATGCTTCTGCATGGGGGCTATCTCTCACCTTGTGCAAATGAAATGAAAGTCACTTAGCATTACTGCAAGCTTGCTACTGCATAAAGTTACACGTCTACATCAGGAATTGATGATTAAGCTGCATTGGTCTTTATTTTGTAGATATTATATCAACTAGGTAGCAGGTTATAAACATTGGTCAGAAGCATAAGTAGCCCTAGCTATGCGTGGATCACTTGGCCACATGTGACCGTACATATGTACCCTCCACAAGCGTGCCCTGGCACACAGGCTCTTGGCATAGAGGCGTCCCTCCTTCACACATCTCTCCTAGTCATGTGTATCCCCTAGAGGCAGCCAGGGAGGCACAGTGGATACACAGCTGGCCTGGAGTCACGAAGACCTCAGCTCAAATCCAACTTAGCTATGTGACCCTAGGCAAGTCCCTTAATCTCTTTTTGCCTCAGTTTCCTCACCTGTAAAATGGGGTTATAATTGGGGTTGTTGTAAGGATCAAATGAGATACCATTTGAAAAGTACTACAGAGCCTGGCATACAGCAGGTGCTATATAAATGCATATTCTCTTCTCTACATGTGTGCACTCTATTTGTATACCCTGGACAAGTGGGCTTTCCATGTCTGTGGCTTTTTGGCCATGCATGTCTTGTACTCTTCCCTACTAGTGGCATGGTAGCCTGTGGGAGAAGGTAGCCCATGCATACGTCAAAAGGAATCTTCTCAATCTGAATGAGTATGTTCTTGGAGCCAGGAAACTTGAGGTCCCAAGGGAAATACTCTATTCAACAAAACAACCATTTATTAGCTGCCTGCTATACCATAAGCTAGGTTCTGGAGAGACAAAGGTGCCAAATGTTGCAGCCTAGCTTTATCAAGTATCTTTTTTCTTTGAACTAATAATTGGTTTGAGTGGTAAAGAAATATACCAGAATAGGTTTAAGTGGCTTTTGATCCACAGAGTGCCCCAAAGCTGGGGTTACTTTTCTGGAGATTTACATTAGAAGCAGGGGGACAGACATCATAGAAGGGAAGTATGCTACATATTCTTAAGGGAATGACATGAAAATACTTAAAATATTACAATGTCAAGGCATCACTCCACTTCTGAATTTGTGTATGAAACGCATAACTTGTTTTTCATTAGAAATGTTTCTTATAATTCAATTGAATTTAATTGAATTGAATATGGGTCTCCTACTGAACCAGATTCCAGGCACTCGGGTAGATGCTAGGGATACAAGGATAAAAGTGAAACAGTCCCCCTGCCCTCCAGGAGTTTCCTTTAACTGGGTGGGAATAAGATACATACAGATAAGTCAACACAAGATAACTCAAGGACAGAAAGAATGCAAACATCTAGGGAATTAAAAAAAAAAAGACTGCCCTAGGAATGACACCTGAGTTGAACCTTGGAAGACGATAAAGATTCTAAAGCAGAGATTCCAAATCTTTTATGTGTGTCCTGGATCCCTTTGTCTGTCTGGGGAAGCCTGCAGACAGACCCCTTTTCAGAGTCATGTATTTAAATGCCCAAAATAAAAGAAGATTACAAATGAAAGCAATCATATTGAGATGCTGTTATCAAAATTGGGGCAGCTAGGTGGCATAGTGGATAGAGTGCTGGGAAAATTCATTTTCCTGAGTTAAAATCTGGCCTTAGACACTTACCAGCTATGTCATCCTGGGCAAGTCACTTAATCCTGTTTGCCTCAGTTTCCTCATCTGTAAAATGAACTGGAGGAAAAAAAAATGGCAAACCACTCCAGTATCTTTGCCAAGAACACCCCAAACAGGGTCACAAAGAGTCAAACATGAGGGGCAGCTAGGTAGTGCAGTGGATAGAGCACTGGCCCTGGATTCAGGAAGATCTGAGTTGAAATCCAGCCTCAGACACATAACACTTAATAGCTGTATGACCCCAGGCAAGTCACTTAACCCCATTGCCTAGCCAAAAAAAAAAAACCAAAGAGTCAGACATGACTGAAAAACAACTAAACAAAGTTATCAAAATACATATTTTGAGAGAAACAAAATTCACTGATCCCAGGTTAAGAACTCCTGCTCTGAGATGAGAGAGCGTTCAAGGTGCTCAAGGTGTGGAGAAGGCACAGAGAGACAAAAGCTCTGATACAGAGGTCGGCTCTGCCACTGTCTATGACTGTGGGGAAATCACTTCCCCTCACTCATCCTCAGTTTCTCCCTTTGCAAAATGAAATAGTTGCACTGAATGACCCCTATAGTCCCTTCTACCTCTCTGTTCCCATGGCCAACAAATCATGAATTACTGTGGTGATTGTTTCTATAGCTAAGTAGATAGTTATTTAGCTGGGTTTGCAAGGTAGGTGTCAGGGTTGACTAAAAAAAAAAAAGAGCAAAGCTGGAAAATCAAATAGACAGAGGGTGTCCAGCCAAGGAGCAGATGTTCCTTTCATGTTTCAATGTGCTGTGGTGGCCTGAAGATTCTGGATCGTGTCCACTAGCAGAAAGGGACAAAAGGTCAACGGAATATAACCAGATGCCCAAGAGAGAAAAGAGCCAGCCATCTCATTTCTTTTGTATGCAGGCACTGTTTGTGCTGAGTAAAATGCCTTAAGAGACATGACAAAAAAGAAGATATATATGTAAGCAGAGTTTTGCCGATATTTGGGATCTGGGCCTCTAACTTCAAAAAGTTACAGGAGCCCAAAATTATTCTACAGATGTCTAGGGAGCAGTTACTTCTCCCAAAAACCACCACCAAGCAAGCAATCACAAAGTGCTTACTATGAGCCAAGCCCTGAGCTAAGACAGCACCAGGGGGGAACGTGGGAGGGGGAAGCTAGGTGGTGAGGTGGACAGAGCACCAGCCCCGGAGTCAGGAGGACCTGAGTTCAAATCCGACCTCAGACACATAACACTCACTAGCTGTGTGACTCTGGGCAAGTCACTTAACCCCAATTGCCTCACAAAAAGAAAGCACTGAGGGTACAAAGAAAGAGAAAAACAGACCCTGCCCTCAAATAGCTCCCATTCTAATGAGAGAGACCACATGCAAAGAGCAATGTATCTAGGAGATACATAAAGTGTAAGTGAAAGGTAATGTCAGAGGGGAGGCACTGAGGGATGAGGGCATGGATATTCAGGAAAGAATTCCTAGAAGGTAAACTTTGACCTAAGACTTGGAAGAAGTCCACAGGCAAAGGCAAACAAGTGGAGGAGACGTGGGGGCAGTCAGTGAAAAGGTACGAGTGGTATGCGAGAAACAGCAAGGTCACTGCAGCTACATCATAGTGTGTGGAGGGCAATAAAGTCTAAGAAGAGAGAGAAGTAGGAAGGGGCCAGGCTCTAGACAGCTTTAAAAGTCAGGCTGAAGAATTCCATCCTGGCGGCAAGAGGGAATCGGTGGAGTTTAAGTAGAGGGAAGTGGAGGTGACATCATCAGACCTGCACTTTAGGAAGCTCATTCTGGCGGCTGAGTGGAGGATGGACGGGAGTAAAGAGTGACATGGAGCAGGAAATCCAACCAGAAGGCCATTGCAATAGTCCAGGTGGGAGGTAATAAGGGACCACCAACATCAGGGTGCAGGCTGTATAAGTGAAGGAGATGCTTTTAAGGAAAATGTTGTAAAGGAAGAAACCTTTGGGGAGGATTAGAATACGCGAAATATTGTACCACTTGTAGTGATGAACATTTAAATAGTGTGTATGACATTTTGAGACCAAAAGGGTCCTTAGACCATCTAGCCCAAAGACCTTATTTAGGATGTAAAGTGAATTGCCTAATGTCGGTTAGTGAATGAAAGAGTCAGAACTCAAACCCACTCCTTCTGACTTTGTCCAAAACATCACCTACCAATATCTAAATACAGGAGCACTGCAGCGCCGGGGTGGAGAAACACTCAGAGTAGCTGTCCGGTCCTCTCAGCTATTGTCCAAGGAAGAAACTCCTGTGGACAAGAGGTCATCCAAAACCCCACCAAGTGCCAACAAGAGGCAGCATGTGCCAGGCAAGGCAAAACCCTGCCATCACCTCGACCATCATCTCCCCTCAGATAGACACAGCCCAGGAATGTAAACCCAAAAGCCTTAGGAAAGCAGCATCACTCAAGTCATTGGATCTGCTCCCAGCCAGGCCCCACAGCCCATTGAGGGGATAAATCGTTGTGGGGAAGGGGCCTGCCTTCCTCATTACCACCTACCAGCAACAGCTTTGGTAAATTACCACCAACAGGTGGATGAATGCAGGAGCCCCAGGCCACCAGTCCTGCTTCTGGTCTAGCCTTCACAACCATTGTCTAGGGAAGCAACTCCTTGCAGACAAAAGACCAGCTATCCCAAACAGCTGCTACTCACAGAGCAGGTAAACCAAACTTAGCAACAAAGCACCCTGAAGGAAAGACAGGAGGTATGCACCGGGTAGGTCAAGCCACCACCACCTTCACCACCATCTGCTCTCAACCCCTGATGGAAATAGGCCAGGAGCGTGAATCCCAGAGCCTTTGAAATGGCTTCCAGCCCACTGTCAAATGATTGAACATCAGAAAATAATGTGATTTAATCAGTAGAAATGATATTAGAGAAGAGGCATGAGCATCTACTTTGATTCTGCCCCCTAAGGACCATGAGACCTTTCCATCTGACTTGCAGCTGAAACCTTCCTCTACCATTAGAATGGGAGCTTATGGAGGGCAGAAATTGTCTTACTGTTTTATTTGTATCCCCAGCACTTAGCACAGCACTTTGCACATAGTAATAAATCATTCATTCATTCATACATTCATTCATTCACTCATACATGAATGTAAAGCTACTCAGTAAACTCTGCTGGCTCCCTATCGCCCCCAGGAGCAAATACAAAATGTTCTGCTTGACATTCAAAGTCCTTCATATCCTAGACCCCTCCTACCTTTCCAGTCTTCTTACATTTTACTCCCCAACATGTGCTCTTCAATCCAATGACGCTGGCCTCCTAGATATTCCACAAATAAGATATTCCATCTCTTAGCTCCAGGCATTTTCTCTGTCCCCCATGCCTGGAATGCTATTCCTGCACCCAGACTACTTATCTCCCTGGTTTCCTTCAAGTCCCAACCAAAATCCTATCTTCTACAGGAAGTCTTCCCTAATTCCTCTTAAATCCAGTGTTTTCTGTCTTTTATTTCCTATTTATCCTGTACAAATAGCTTGCTTTTTATATATTTGTTTGAATGTTGTCTCCCCTTTTAGACCATAAGCTCCTCGAAGGCAAGGGCTATCTTTTGCCTCTTTATATTTCCTCAGTGTTTGACACAGTGCCTGGAACATAGTAAGCACTTAACAAATGTTTATTGATTGATGGGTGGATATAGATAGCAATAAATGTGCACTATCTTTTCTATCAGGGAGTTTTACATTCAGTCCATTCCTATGTATACTTTTTTCCTGAAGTAATCTTTGAAATTGAGCTAGATTGGAATGAGGAGGATAAAGTCCTTGTTTTAGCTGACATATCTAATTTTAGTTTGTTGCTAATTTTCAAAATAGCCAACATCTAGTCTGTAATTTTACATGCTCAAAATCACATATAAAAGGTTTTGTGTCAAGCAAGATTCTATATAAGCAAATTGGGTAGTTAGGTATTCTCTAACCACTAATTTGTGAGAAAGTGGAGTTGTTTGTATATAGATGTTCTTATAAAATCAATTCCATTTGAATAATATGCATTAAACTATTACTAGAGAGCAGGAACATTAATGTACAGTTAGTTGGTGGAACTATGCATTGATCCAACCATTTTTGAAAACAATTTGGAACTATGTTCCAAAAGTAGCTAAACTATCTATGTACTTTGACCCAGCAATACTACTACTAGCCCTATAACCCAAGAGGTCAAAAAAAAAGAGGGAAAGGACCCACATGCACAAAAATACTTATAGAAGAAGCTGTTTTTGTAGTGGCAAAGGTCCGGTAGCTAAGGGATTGCCCATCCACTGGAGAAGAGCTGAACAAACTATGACAAATGAGATACTAATTGTACCTTAAGAAATAACAAAAAAGATAGTTTCAGAGAAACTGGGAAGACTTCTATGAACGGATGCAGAATGAAGTGAGAAAAAAATACAGCAAAAAAATAGAATAAAAACAGCATTGTTCAGACAAACACTTTTGGAAAACTTCAGAACTCTAATTCAATTGAGTGAGGATTGTCACAGGCTGGAGAGAATAAACCAAAAACATCAACAATAATAACAGATAGCATTTGTATTGTGCTTTATAGTTTGAAGACTCATAATAAAGTATGCTACCCACCTCCTCACGGAGAGGCAATGGATTCAAGATGCAGCATGAGACACACTCTTTTGGTTATGGCCAATGCAAAATATTTGACTATATGCATTTGCACAAGGGTTTTTGCTTTGTTTTTTGTTGCCATCATTGCTGGGATGAAAGAGAAATATTTATTAATCGAAAAGAGAAGAAAGAAATTTTTAAAATTAAACTATTGCTATCTTTCATTCCAGTAGACATATAGAGGCCTTGAAAGGAACCAAAAGGGACCTGCAATAAAACAGGCAGTAGATCATTTTAAGTGATAAAAAAGCATTAGAAAAACAAATTTAAGCATTATATTCAATATTTGAAGGCAAGTAGGATACCATTCTTATTTTAGGAGAAATTGAAATTCTCTTCCTGTCAAGCATCATCATATAGATAGTCCTACTTACCTTTTTCTCTGGGTGAAAACAATGCATAGATCATCTCGTTTCTCTTTTTTCTCCCACTTTCAAATTGAATAACTGGTAAAACTTTAACTAAGAATTCTAGTACCTGAGGCAAAGTCGGATGAGAGAAGAAAGAGCCTCCCTGGGGTGTGGGGAGACCTTGGATTCTAAGACATGGAGACATCACTACTGATCTGAAGCAATCCCCATCCATGAAGGATGTGGTAAGGATCCCCAAGCCCAGTAAGCATTCCTACCAGGAAAAGATACAGTTTATTTCCCAGAAACCATGGCCCTAGACCCCTTTGCCATGGCTGATAGCCCACAACCAGCACTGGGAATGGATGGCAAGGATTGAGACAGTAAACAAAGGGCTCCAAGGTAGGTGATACCAGGTTCCAGGAGGGATGCCACAGCCTCCCCGGATGTCAGAAACCTGGAGCAAAGCCCTAATCACCCTACCCTAATTATGGCCCTAATAACTGGCAAATCTACAGAGTCTGGGTGGAAGTTTTTTGACGTGAGTCACGTAGCTGCTCTTCTACAGCACTTAAATTCCTAAATAATTCCCTAACTCTCTGCTTAGACCTGCCTACATTTTCTAGTTTGGAAAAAATCTAGGTTCTAGGATTTTTTATGACATCTCCACAAGACTGATTTGTGTGAACAAAGAAGTAAAAAGCCATCACACCACTGACCTTGTCAAAATGCCGGAACGCCTCCAGCAAAGTGTCAAAGTTGTGATAGTTCACTTTCTTCAGATGCTGACGAAGTGCAGCAAAGACGGCTCGCTCCCTATCCTTGCCATGAAGGTACTGGCCTGGCAGTCGATTGTAAATGAGGTCGCCAGCTCCTGTTGGAACACAACTACAGCATCTCAGGGATAGCAATACTATTCCCATTTGAATAATGACAGTGATGATAATACTACTAATAATAATAATGAATAAACCTCTTTTGAAAAAAAGTCTAAATCTAGACCTAGACACTTAAAACAACTGTTACCATTAAAAATACAGTTATCTATAGATATGTGTCTGACAAAAGCCGGCGGTTTTGCACTGTTTCACTGCTTAAGAAGAAATTACTTTCTCAAAATCAATTTTGTATCTTATTACAAAAATTTGTATTTTGATATTCTATCTTCAATTATCTTCAATTTCAAATTCTATTGTCAATTATCTTCAATTTCTTCAGTGAGAGTTTACCCTCAACAAAATCCATTTTCAATTAAACAGTTGGGCTGGATGGAACAAAAATAAAGACTTTCAGGAACTGTAGAGTTCTCCAGCGTCTAAACTTCTCATTTTATAGATCAGGAACCAACGTCCAAAGAGGCTGTGATTTGGCCAGTGTTGGCAGAGTCTGCACCTGAATCCAGGCACCGTTAACTCCAAACTGAGCATTGTTTCCACTGCACCAAGAAGTCTTATACTAACCAATTGGTTATTTGATGTGTAAAATAGAATTCCACCAAAAGTTCCTCTTGAAAGAAGCCTTGTAAGGGGCAGCTAGGTGATGCAGTGGGTAGAGCTCCAACCTTAGAGTTAGGAGGACCTGAGTTCAAATCCAGCCTCAGACACTTGACACTAGCTGTGTGATCTTGGGCAAGTCACTTAATGGTGATTGCCTCACCAAAAAAGGAAGAAGAAGAAGAAGAAGAAGAAGAAGAAGAAGAAGAAGAAGAAGAAGAAGAAGAAGGAGGAGGAGGAGGAGGAGGAGGAGGAGGAGGAGGAGGAGGAGGAGGAGGAGAAGGAGAAGCAGCCTTGTTCTAGGGGCAGATAGGTGGAGCAGTAGATAGAGCACTGGCCCTGAAATCAGGAAGACCTGAGTTCAAATCCAGCCTTGACACTCACTAGCTGTGTGACCCTGGGCAAGTCACTTAACCCCAAGTTCCTATCTCATTGTTTTGTATAATTAAGGAAGTCTTTAGGTCAGCTGGGTGGCTTAGTGAATAGAGAGCACTGGGCTTGAAATCAAGACTCATCTTCATGAGCTGAAATCTGGCCTCAGACACTTACTAGCTTTGTGACCCTGAGCAAGTCACTTAACCCTCTTTACCTCAATTTCCTCTTATGTAAAATGAACTGGAGAAGGAAATGTCAAACCACTATAGTACCTTTGCCAAGAAAACCCTAAACGGTGCCACAAAGAGTCAGACACAACCAAACACCAACAAAGGAAGCCTTCAATGTTTCAGCAATCAGGAGATTAGTAGGTTTTAACCGTCTGTTGACGGGTTTATGGTCAGAGCTAATTTTTGCATTTTGTAACTCACCATCATATTGATGTGCTAAGAGCACCTAAAAAGGCCAGAAACCCTCAGTTAAAAAAAAAAAACCACTGACGTGAAAACAGAATTGTCAGTACAGGCAGGGATTAGCAACGAGTTGAAGAGATGGTATGCCCCAATTGCTTATATATAGTCCAAACTCAGCAGAAGTCTGTTGATTTGAGGCTATATAATTTCAAGCCTAATATATCTCAACTTATGTTTTTCTTAAGGCATTCAATGTACAGGGTGTTTCAAACTCAAACTGAAGTTGGATACTTGGAGAATATGTGTGTTCAAAAAAAAAGATAAGATAGGCTGGTCACATGATGAGAGTGGATGGCCCTCCTGGTCTACTGGCCACCCTGAAGATGCCAAAAGGGTGGGAAGAGATCTCCAGGCATGTTGAGTAGACCCTCTGTAGTAGATTTGTTGGAGGACATGGACCAGAACAGCATAGGATGTGCAGGACTAGAAAAGTTCTGAGCTAACTTTGAGTCTTTCCCACATCAGTTCATTGTCCACTCAACTGTCAAAATGATCTTCATAAAGCACAGATTTGACCACCCCACCCTCACCCCATTCAATAAACTCCAATGGCTCCCTACCACCTCCAGGATCAAATATAAAATCCTCTGTTTGTCATTCAAACCCCTTCATAACTGGTCGCTAACTACCTTTCCAGCATTCTTACACCTTATTACCTTCCATGTACTCTTCAATGCAATGGCATTGTCGTCCTTGCTGTTCCCACCACAAGACACTAACTGTAGATTTCCTGACTGTAGACCTTCACTGGTTGCACCATGCCTGGAATATTTTCCCTCCTCATATCTACCTCCTGGCCTCCCTGGCTTCCTTCAAGTGTCAGCTAAAATCCCACCTTTCCAGATTCCCCTTAACGCTAGTGCCTTCCATCTATTGAATATCTCTAATTTATCCTACATACATCTTGTTTTCATGTTGTCTTACCCATTAGACTTGAGACCCTTGAGAGTAAAGACTGTCTTTTGCCTTTCTTCATATCCCTGGAGCTCAACACAGGATCTGGCACACATAGTAGGTGATTCATAAATGCTTGTTGACCACCTGTATCCCTCTTGGGAATATATGTGTCAATAAGATAATAGATCCACTGTAGTATTAGATTATTAAGAATGGAGACTAGACCCTGTGATTTGATTGGTCTAAGAAACTCCAGATACGGCCACTTTCTCTTCCAATGTATCTTAACACCTTCACAGCAATTAAGAATACTGGAGCATTGTGTAAGAGTGATTTGTATAGTCAAAGAGCCAGTATGCATGAGAGGCAGAACTTAATCCTGCCTCCAAGGTCAGCTGTCTACCCATAATAACATGTGACCTCTAATGACTTGAAGATTAGTCTCAAGTATTTGGTTGTTCATTGCACTGCTTAAATCTAAATCAATAAGCATTTATTAAGTATCTGCTCTCTGCCAGGCACTTTGCTAGGGTCAAAGGATGCCAAGGAAAAAAATAAATGTATTATTATCCTTTTCCATTTGGCTGCATAGGCATATTTTATATAAGGAGGTTGTATTTGTTCAATAAGATCCAATTTTTTTTTTAAGTTTAAAGGGACACACTACCAGGGAATGAAGCTTTTCATCCTTCAAATAAAATGACACAAAGTGAATGTTTCTTTTCTTCAATTTGTTTTGTTCCATTAACAAAAACACAACCTTGTGATTTATCTTTTTTTAATGTGAGACTTGTAAAGGAAGGCAATATTTAATTGAATTCCATGGTTTTTTACACTTTAGAAGAAAGCTATATATTTACCGTATTCATCTGGACGCAGAAATATTCCAAATGTGTGATCTGGTGGAACATTCATTGTTTCTGCAATGCTATCAATGAAAACAAACGCTGTCATTAAAATACTTGTCATGTAACACCCCTAGAATTTTAAATATTCCCCCCATACATTGTTAAATGGAGGATTTATAGGTGAAATACAGGCAAGAATCCCAAAGAGTAAGGCACTGAAGAGTTTCTATCTTCATTGGGAGGAGGGAATGTTCACACCAGGTTATTAATGATGACAATGAGAAGGAGGGGGAAGATGGTAGTGACAGTAATAATACTTTGAGAAGCTTTATTTAATCTTGATCACTTGGTTGAACTAGAAGAGTTAGGCTGATGAAAAAAATGTCAATGCTTTGACAAATCTTTAATTTGTCAAATGAGATGATGTATGTAAACTGCCTTACAAAACCTTAACCCATGACAGACGTTTAAGCTGTAATCTTTCTTGTTATCTCATTTTTCTCATCTAGTTGCATGGAATTTGGTTTTAAAAAAAAAAAAACTCTCCTAGGACAGATCCCTATCCTGTTATTATTCTTTTATGTTGAACATAGAATTATTTTCTTTTTGTTGCTTAAGGCAAAAAAAGCAAATTTAATATTTATACTAAATACTGTCTCAGGGTCATCTCTATCTGAATTCAAAGTAGGTAAAAAGGATAAAATAGTAATACTTCACAATTAGATAAATAGTGCTTTATAGTTTATAAAGAACTATACAGACATCATCTCATTTGATAAATTATGTCTGTCAAACATCAAAGTTGCTTTTTCTTTTAACAGCATATCTCTTCTACTTAAACCTCAATGAAAAAAATAAAGATTAAGTAAATCTGCTCAAACTGACACTTAGTCTCATGTGCCCCTTGCTGTAATTATGGCTAAGTACTACAGTATCCCTGATTTTAAAAACCAAAAATTCCAAACAGACCCCATTTAACATAGAAGTGAAATAATATATGCAAATTTGGGCTCATGGAGGTAGTTTTGTTTTGTTTTGTTTTGTTTCGAGACTAGGCCTCATTCTGGCCAGAAATATAAACAATGGCCATTCGTGGGTCCAACCCACGGTGGGCATGGAAGCTTTGTTCTGCTCTGATTCTGACCTGGGCTGGTCCACCTCTCCTTAGGCAACTTGTGACCCTCAGGGCTCATCATATTGGTGGTGAGGACACTCGATCAGCTTTAGCTACTAAAGTTCAAAACTTAGCACAAAAGCAATCCACCAGTCTTAGACTCCCTAGTGGCAGGAAGTAGTGCTTATGCCCTGCTGTGATATGGCTTCTTAATCAATATAAACCATCACTTTGGGGGTCACCAAAGCATTAAAATTTTGCTCATGATCAAAATTTAAAGATTCTTCTTAAATTTAGCAGAAAGATATATTTAAAAAGAAAATCAGTGCTGAGCACATTATTTTTCTAAAACAGTAAAAAAAAATCTATTAGTTGGAAAATTTATCTTTAACTTACGGATCCCAGACTTTTCCAAGTTTGTGTTGAAACTTTTCATTGAAGTCATCGACTCTTTTGGAAACTATTTTACTGCCTTTTTTCCTGTAAAATTAGAAAAAAATAGATATTCCTGTTGCCAAAGTCTATATAGCTTCCAAGTATACATACGGTGAAGAATATAATTGCATTTAAAAGTACTTATATACATATGTAAGTACATTTTGGGCATAAGGAAGATATCCTATTTCAAAAGCAATACCATATTAAAAAGAAAACATTATTTGTTCATTTTAGAATTGTTTCTATGCAAATTTTAAATTTACTTTTAGAAATTCGATATTTGTCATTCCTCAATTGATAAATGGTCAAAGGATATGAACAGGCACTTTTTGGATGAAGAAATCAAAGCTGTATATAGTCATATAAAAATTCTCTAAATGGTTGTTGATTAAAGAAATGCAAATTAAACTAATTTTAAGATACCATCTCACACCTATTGGATTGGCTAAAATGACAGAAGAAAATGACAAATATTCAAAGGGATATGGAAAAATAGGGACAATAATACACTGTTGGTGGAACTATAAACTGATCCAGCCAGTTTGGAGAACAATTTGGAATTATGACCAAAAAGTTATAAAACTATGTATGCCCTTTGACCTAGCAATACCATTATTAGCCTGTTTCCCAAGGTGATCAGGGGGAAAGGAAAAGAATCTGTATGTTCTAAAATACTGATGGCAGCTCTCTTTGTTGGTGGCAAAGAACTAGAAATTGAGGGGATGCCCATCAATGGCTGAACAAGTTGTGGAATGTGATTGTGATGTCATACTACTGTGCTGTCAGAAATGATGAACATGTTGACTTTAGAAAAACATGGAAAGACTTAATAAGAAATAAGGAGTAGTGACATGAGCAGAACCAAAAGAATGCTGAATACAGTAACAACAATATTATTCAAAGAATAACTGTAAATGACTAAGCTATTCTGAGTATTATAAGTATTCACATCAACTACAAAGGACCTATGAAGGAAGATGCTATCCATCTCCAAAGAAAGAACTGATAAATACAAGTATGTATAGTATGGGGGTGTATGTGTGTGCGTGTGTGTGTGTGTGTGTGTGTGTGTGTGTGGTATGTGTGTGAAATGGTGACTTTCTCTAGTGTAGGGCAGAGAGAAAGAGAAAGAGAGAGAAAGAGAGAAAGCTCTGAACTTAAAATATAACAAAAAAATAAATTAAAAAAAATTTTTAATCTGACATTTTATGAGACATTGTGATAATCTATAGCATGATTACTAAATAGAACAATATTGTTTTATCATTAGATTTCTTAAATGCAAGAGATATTTGAAGCTACGGTTTGCTGAAAAATAAAATATGTGTGCATTTCCTGTCCTATGCAGATATTGCCAAGCTGAACAAGTTTCTAGGGAAGAGTGACACTCTGTGGAGAAACAAAAGAATAGACCAAAATATAAATTAATTCAACTTCTCTATTTCTTGTTCTATTTCCTAATTGTTGGGTTCCATAAAGTTATTCTGAGATCTCACATACAATACAACAGCATCATAGAATCTGAGATTTAGAAGGGCCCTCAAAGATGACCTATTGCCATCCATTTCTGACTAAGAATTCCTCTGCTACATCCCTAGGAAGTAGTCTTCCAGGCTCTGAATAAAGACCTCCAAGGAGAAGACATCCCACTCTCTCCCAAGGAAACTCATTCCACTCTGGGAAAGTTCTCCTTGTTACACAACTTTTCTTCACCACCAAGCCTAAATCTGCTTCTATCACTATGCACTTCAAGCTCTCTTCTCACTAGTTCAACAGAGTAAATCGAATCCCCCTTCCATATCACAGCTTTGCAAACATTTGAAGACAGACAGCATATCCCCCACCCCAATTCTTTTCGCTAGGCTAACCATCCCCAGTTTCTTCAATGAATCCTTGTGTGTTTCCAATCCTTTTGCCAATCTGATCTACATCTTCTGAACATATTCCAGCTTGTCTGTGATGTTCTTCCTAAAATACAGTCATCAGAACTTAACCCAATATCCCAGATGTGTTCTAACCAGGACGGTACTCAGTGGGAATGTAGCCTATGTCATTTTTGTGTAAAAAACTATTTTTCTAAATCTTAAAATATCATTCCTGTATTTGCCACTTGTGTGACTAATCATAATTTTCTAGCATAATTTACTATTTAACCAAGTAGAACTTTTTCAACTTCATATTTTTCCCACTTAGTTCATAGACCACTATCTAAATTCATCTTAAAATATCTTCTGTATTAGTGGATGGAATATGTGGAGGGGATGAGAGAAACAGCAACATTTTGAGTCAGTTCATCCACTGTATCCAGGAGTTGAAGAAGCAAAGGGGGTAAAATTGTTATATAACATGAAGATTCTCTCAAGATGTTCCAACCACAAAAGATATGTGGGAAAGATTTTTTCCACAATCTTGAATGGGAGCCAGGGGGTTTCCCTATGGAATTTTTCTATATCACTGAATCAATGATCATAAAAATTATGCTTTTAGAACTTCCTATCATGCATGAGCTTATGGCTTCTCAATGCAACCAATGATAACATTAACTGATTTGGCAGCCCTATCACACTGAAACTTAGATTGTTTGCTATCGCTTAAAACCTCTCAATCTTGTTTACAGAGAATGATTGTATAGCCACAATTCCCTCACTGTGTACTTAGTAAAGCAGATGTTCTGAACCCAAGCATAGAACTTAATACTTATTCCTATTAAATCTCATCTTATTCACGTTAGCTCATCATTCCAGGTCATCAGCTCTTTTGGGACCCAGACTCTTTCATCCAAAGCACCATCTATCCCTCCCAACTCTGTTTCATCTGCAAATTTGACAAGCATGCCTTCTACGGTTTCATCTGACAAAAATGTTGATGAACACAGGGGCCAAGGCTAGATCCCCTGGACACTCCACTCTGTTGCAAATAATACCAAAACAAAAACAGATCTTGCCATTTATGTTTCAAAAATAACCTCTGGGGGGGTGGAACCAAGATGGCAGAGGAGAGGCAGCAAACCAGCTGAATTCTCTCAACATTCCTCTTCCCCTCTAAACAACTTTAAAATAGTGCCTCAAATTAAATTTTTGAGTGGCAGAGCAAACAACAAGTCGAAGAGAGATATTTTTCCACCACAAAACAAAAAGAGAAGTCTGTGACACCAGGGTAGTAGCCGGTCTAGAGCACATGCTGCAGCAGCACCAGTGGCAGACTTTGAAGGTGGTGGCAGCAGCAGCAGCTTTGGGAGTTCTCAGTCCAGAGATGGTTGGACAGCTAGTCAGAAAGAGATTACAGGAGACCCTTTGCTAGCATTGGGTGCAGCTGGCACTCTATGCAACTCTACCACCCACACACAGTTCTAGATCACAGTTCCAAGGCTGTGCTGGTGGTAAGTCACAAGGGAGCAGAGGACTGGTCTCAGTTTCAGAGCTAAGAGGAGCATTAGAGCTTGTGGCTATTAGGGGGAAGGGGTTTCCTGGGTAAAGACCAGAGCACAGACGCAGCAGTGACCACAGCTCTCCCCACATCACACCACTTTGGAAGGACTGAAAACTTGTAAACCCCCAGAACTATCTCTGAAAAAGGCCTAAATATTGGGACAATGCCTCTCCACCACAAGCTGAGTAGAGCCCAACTTTAACATGAAATTCAAATCTAAAAAATAAGCTAGAAAAATGAGCAAACAGCAAAAAAATAATTTGACCATTAAAAGCTCCTACAGTGTCAGAGAAGATCAAGACACAAATTCAGAAGAAGACAACATGAAAACAAATACAAAGCCTCAAAGAAAAATGATAATTCAATCAAAAAGAATTCCTGGAAGAGTTAAAGAAAAAATATAAGAGTGGTAGAGGAAAAATTGGGAAAAGAAATAAGAGTGATACAAAAAAATTATCAAAAGAGAATTCACAGCTTGGTAAAACAGGCACAAAAAGTACTGAAGAGGGAGCAGCTAGGTGGTGCAGTGGATAGAGCACTGGCCCTGAAGTCAGGAGGACCTGAGTTCAAATCCTGCCTCAGTCCAAACACTTGACACTTACTAGCTGTGTGACCCTGGGCAAGTCACTTAACCCCCCCCCAAAAAAAAAGTATTAAAGAAAATAATACCTTAAAAAATGAAGTTGGATGAATGATAAAAGAGGTACAAAAATTCATTGAAAAACTGAAAAAGCAGACTTAGGTCAAATGGAAAAGGAGGTACAAAAATTCACTGAAAAAAAGAAACTCTTTAAAAATCAGAATTGGCTAGATGGGAGAAGAGATATAAATGCTCACTAAAGAAAATAATTCTTTAAAAATTTGAATTGGGCAAGTGGAAGCTAATGACTTCAATTAAACAATAAAGCAAAATCAAAGACTTTTTTTTTTAAATAGAAGAAAATGTGAGCTATCTTGCTGGAAAAACAACTGACCTGGAAAATAGATTGAGGAGAGATAATTTAAGAATTATTGGACTGTCTGAAAGCCATAATTTAAAAAATAATAATCTACACATCATATTTCAAGAAATTATCAAGGAAAGCTTCTATATCTTAGATCCAGAGGGTAAAATACAAATTGAAAGAATATATTGATCACCTCCTAAAAGAGATCCCAAAATGAAAACTCCTAGAAATATTATAGCCAAATTCCAGAGCTCCTGGGTCAAGGAGAAAATATCGCCAGCAGCTGAAAAGAAACAATTCAAATATCATGGAGCCACAGTCAGGATCATACCAGATTTAGCAGCTTCAAGGATCAGAGGGTTTGGAACATGATATCCCAGAAGGCAAAGGAGCTAGGATTTCAAGAAAGAATAACCTACCCAACAAAACTAAGTATATACTATGTTATAGTATATACTATAGCATAGCACATACAATAGTGTAGCTTTGTTTTGTTTTGTTTTGTTTTGTTTTCGGGGGGGGGGGGGGGGAATGGATATTTAATGAAACAGAGCACTTTTTCAAGCATTCCTGATGAAAAGACCAGAACTTAATAGTAAATCTGGTATTCAAACACAAGACTCAAGAGAAACATAAAAAGGTAAACATGGAAGAGAAATCACAAGTAACTTAATGTTTTTAAAGCACTGTTTACATTCCTATATGGGAAGAAGAGACTTGTAACTCCTAAGAACTTTATCATTATTATGGCAGTTAGAAGAAGTCTACATAAACAGAGGGCATGAGTGTGAGTTGATTACATTGGGATGATGTAAAAAAAATGAAATAGTGAGAAAGAGGGATTCACTGAAAGAAGGGGGAAGGGAGAGATCAAAAATGGAAATTTTTCTCACAAAGAAGAGGCATACAAGTAAGAGCTTTTTCTGTGAAGGGGAAAATGGGGGGAGGGGAAAAGGCAGGCAATTTTTGAGCTTCAATTTCATTGGAATTGGTTCAAAGAGGGAAGAATATATATACACACTCAGTTGGGTATAGGAATATATCCAAGTCAGTAGGGAAATCAGAGGGAGAGAAGATAAGAGATATGAAAGTGATGATTAAAAAAAAAAAGGTGGACTAAGGAAGACAATGGTCAAAAGCAAATTAAGAGTTTTTAGAGTTTTGAGGAAAGAGAGTGAGAAAAGGTAAAAATAAGAAAATAGGATGGAGGGAAATACATAGATAGTAATAACTGTGAATGTGAATGGGATGAACTCACCCATAAAATGGAAGCAAATAGCAGAATGTCTTAGAAACCAGAATTCAGGGGCAGCTAGGTGGCGTGGTGGATAGAGCACTAGCCCTGGATTCAGGAGGACCTGAGTTCAAATCTGGCCTCAGACACATATCACTTACTAGCTGCATGACCCTGGGCAAGTCACTTAACCCCATTGCCTAAAACCAAAGAAAAAAAAGAAAGAAAAAAAAAAAGAAACCAGAATTCAACAATATGTTATTTACAAGAGACACACTTGAAACAGAAAGACCCTTACAGTTAAAATAAATGGCTGGAGCAGAATCTATTATGCTTCAGTTAAAGTAAAAAAGGCAGGGCTAGTAATCAGACAAAGCAAAAGCAAAATCAACCTAATTAAAAGAGATAATCAGGGAAACTACATTTTACTTAAAGGTACCATAGACAATGAAACAATTTCCCAAAAGTTTACATCAGGTATCTCTGATAAAGGCCTCATTTCTCAAATATATAGGGAACTGAGTCAAATTTATAAAAATAAGTGCCACTCCCCAATTGATAAATGGTCAAAGGATATAAACAGGAAGCTTTCAGAAGAAAAAAAAATCAAAGCTATCTATAATCACATGAAAAAAACTCTACATCACTATTAATTTTTGTTGTTCACTCATTCAACCATCTGACTCTATGTGACCCCAGGGACATTATCCATGGGATTTTGTTGGCAAAAATACTGGAGTGGTTTGCCATTTCTTTCTCCATTGATTAGAGAGATGAAAACTAAAACAACTTGGGGATATTCATCTCACACCCATCAAAAAAGACAAAAGCTGGAGAGGATGAGGGAAAAATAGGTACATTAGTGAACTACTGGTAGAATAATGAACTGGTCCAACCATTCTGGAGAAGAATTTGAAACTAGGCTCAAAGGGCTATAAAACTGTACACACCCTTTGACCCAGCAATAACACTTCTAGGTCTAAATCCCAAAGAGATAAAGAGGAAAGGAAAAGGACCTATATGTACAAAAATGTTTATAGCAGCTCTTTTTGCGGTGGTAAAGAATTGGAAATTGTGGGGGTGCTCATCAGTTGCGGAATGACTGAACAGGTGTAGCATACGATTACAATGAATTACTATTGTGCTATAAGAAATTATGAGAAGGATGGTTTCAGGGGTGGAGGAAGAAACATGGGAAGATGTCTGTGAACTGAAGCAAAGTGAAGTGAGAAGTACTGGGAGATCATGGTGGACAGTAACAGCAATGTTAGAATGGTGATCGATGGTGAAAGACAAGGCGCTCTGATCAACACAGTGATTCAAGATAATTCCAAAGAAATCATGATAAAAAAAAAAATGCTATCCACCTCCGGAGAGAGAAATGATGAGCTCTGAATGCAAACTGCAGTATAACCTTCTCACTTTATTTTTGTTGCTTTTTTGTGATATGGCTAATATGAAAATATGTTTTGCATGATTCCCCATGTATAATATACATAATTTTGCTTGCCTTCTCAATGGCTTGGGGGGAGGTAGAACAGAGAGACAGAATTTGGAATTCAAAATTTAAGAAGAAAAGAATGTTAAATATTTTTAAAATAACCTCTATTATTTGTGGATGCTTTTGGAGCAACCAACTAACTTCTTTTAAACATCTCAAAAATCATTAACTCATCTTAATGGCTTACCATTCTAGAATGCTTTTTTTTAAGTACATTCAAAAATGATGCTATTGATTCAATGTTGATAAGGTCTTTTTTTCCCTTTGGCAGTAATGCTGATGACTTAGCTGCACGCTCTCATGTCATCCCCACTGTGGCCAAAGGTATGTCTGTAGCTGGCCCCTGGTGTGAGGAAGGGAGTCAATAAGACAAATAGATATATCATATTTTACCAAATGAGATGCAGTGGGTCATAGCAGATAGAAGGCCAGTTTTAAAATCAGGAAGATCTGTATTTAAATTCTAATCCTGATAACCCCACTGGTTAATCCTGGTCAAGATTTAACTTCTCCTTGTTCCAAGCAAGTCTCAAAAACTCCAAGTTACAGACCACCCTTGTTGATCTGGGAGGTAGATCCCAAGGAAGAAGAATTCTGTGTTCTCACTGACAGAGCCAGTTTTCAATGATGATGGTCAAAATCTCTAGCCTAGCCCTGTAGCAGCTACAAAGTCAGCTGAAGGGTATAACTGCCCACAAATTTTCCTGAAATCCAGGGCTTCCTTGCCCTAACAATCATATAGACTCATTTTTTTCCATTATTAGATAAGAGATTTCTATCCCAGGAGTTTCTCACATAAATAAAATCACAGATCCAGACTCCACCCAAAAAAAAATCTTCATAACCGCATACCTTGATTTTCCCTTAAAGTCTCCTGGAATATATGATATCATTCCTCCAATAAAGTCCCATGCAATGCCTCAGAGTGGTGTTCAAGTACCTTCCTTCTCTGCTTTCTTTCTCAAATCACCCAGCCCTGGGCCCTCCCAGAAACCATCCAGAGCTACCCCACCCCCTTAGTCCCAGAAATCATCTGGCTAGGAGGCAAAAAGACTCACCAATAATGAGGGAGCCATCCCCCTCTTCCTTTCCCCTTCCTTCTAGGTAACCTGATGACTCATAGGTCTTGGGTAAGATAAGAGTCAACAATTCCATTCATTCCAATGAGATGCAGGGCTACTAGGCCTCACCATTTGCATTGCCATTGGACCCTAAAGCCCTCCTGGCCTTACCACCTAACCTATCTCTATACCACATACTCCCCTAAGTACTCCCCACAGCTACCTATGTAGCTTAAAGAACTCTGGGCTCCAAGAACGAACCAATGAGCAGCCCACCTGTCCGCCAGCCAAGGACCAACCTTGATCATTTCAGAAAGGCTCGTTGACAGAAGTTCTGCCATATACCGTAAATTTTTCACCACGTAAATCAACCCTGTTGTGGTGGGAACAATATCCTAACCTCATCCTCTATGCTAATTAAGCTAGTTTTTCCCTCCAAGCTATCTCCAGGATTTAATTGGCCTGGAGGATGAAGGCTATTACTGTGCACAATGATCTCCCTGTTCTCACTTCACTTTGCTTCAGTTCACAGATGTTAACCTCCTTGGATGAAGCTTTGGTAGCCTCTGTCTGTACTGACATGGTTTCCTGCTCACCTAAGGATATGAAAAGGCCCGCATACGTGATGTCAGGGCTCTTCCAGACTGGGTGAATGTCCCAAGATCGCACAAGTTACTTCACCCTGCCTTGTTGACCAGAACTTCCATGTGAAATTTGTAGGGAGAGAAAGGAGGGTTGAGTCTATCCAAGCTAAGTGCTAGAGTATCCTTGTTATAATCTGCACTTATAAAGAGAATACCGACAACATGACTAATGTGAAAATGTTTAATAGGAATGTATATGTGTAGCCTCTATCAGATTGTGCGCCATCTTGGGAAGGGAGGTGCAGAGGGAAGGGAAGAAAAATTTAAAACTCAAAAGCTTATGGAAGTGATTGTTGAAAACTAAAAATCAATTAATTCATTAAAAATAATAATTTGCTTATTTTTTTATTTTTTTTTTATTTTTAGGCAATTGGGGTTAAGTGACTTGCCCAGGGTCACACAGCTAGTAAGTGTCAAGTGTTTGGTTGAGGCCAGATTTGAACTCAGGTCCTCCTGACTTCAGGGCCAGTGCTCCATTCACTGTGCCACCTGGATGCCCCTAAAAATGATAATTAAAAGAAAAAGAGAAAGGATGCCCACATAATGAATTAGATATCTGAAAGCTTCAAAGTATGGAATCATTGCATAAAACTTGCCACAGTGTCAAACTAACCAAAACTTTGCAAATCAGTTGTCCAATTAAGCATAAAACAAGGCTAAGAGGTAAATGTCAAGGTATCAGTTTTCTGTTATATACTCTCTGGGGCCTTCTTAGCAGAGTGTGGAAAAGCATATTGCCTTAAAGAAACTTTAAGAATCCTAGGGCAGCTAGGTGGCGCAGTGGATAGAATACTGGCTCTGGAGTCAGGAGGACCTGAGTTCAAATTCAGCCTCAGACGCTTGAGACTCTCTGGCTGTGTGACCCTGGGCAAGTTACTTAACCCCATTACCTAGCCGAAAAAAGAAAGAAAGAAACTTGAATCTTATAGAAATCACCAATTCAAGATGTTTACTCTTCTGAGTTGAAATGTCATGTGTCTAACAATTACTCTGAGAAACAACATAATTTAACTTACATTTGTAGCTCGTGGAGCCAATGAAAAGATTTTGCCATAGTTCGACCATCGTTAAAATGTGGCGTTTCCCCTCCATAAGTTTGAAATCTATAAAAGCTTGCTGGGTTATATTTCCTATTCTTCATTTCCCCTGTAAAAGAAAAGAGGCTTCTCATTTATACCAGGAGAATGATTTTGTCAGGGTCATGCTTCTGAGAGGCCTTCAGAAGAGGCCCTGGACACTGACAAGAACCAAGAATGCTTTGGTGACCATGGGCAAGTTACTGACCCCAAGAGAGACGGTACTTAGACGTTAGTGGATATTCCTTAGTTACAGGTAGTGAAGCACCTAACTCACAGAGTCGCTTCAAGGATTAAATGAGTTAACATAAGTAAGACAATTTGGCAATTATATAAACTCTAACTATCATTATCATCATTGTTATTATTGCCATCATCATCATCATCATCATCATCATTAGCTTCTGTGAGCTTCAGTTTCCTCATCTGTAAAGTGGAGGAGTTAAACTAGATGACCTATATGGTCTTATGCAGCTCCGAAATGTTATGACTTTATAGTATGTGGTATCTTTGTGGACGTCTAAGAAGATAACTTGAAAAGAATATTCCACAGGATTGTGATGAGAGAGATAATTCCATAGATATAATTTCCATATGATACAAATATTGGCTCTGGGCCCCAAAAGAAAATGAGAACCAAGACATTCAAACAGAGCTTTAATAAAATCAGTAATAATAATGGTTAACATTTATATGTAGTGCTTTCCATTCATAAAGTGTTTCATAGGTATTAACCCATTTGATCCTCACAGGGATCCTGTGACAAGCTGTTGCTATTCTAATTTATAGATGAAGAAACTGAGACAGAGATAAAGTGATTTGCCCAGGATCAGCCAGCTAGCAAATGTCGAAGTCAGGCGTCGAACTCAGGTCTTCTGGACTCTGGGCCTAGTGCTCTATCCATTGTGCTACCCAACTCTAATTCTTTCTGCACAGATAAGCTATTTATGTTTAGTGGGTAGAAGCAGGCAAGATTGTCGCCTCCCCTCCCTTGGTGAAAGGCAAGAGAAGATGTCAAAATGGAAAGACCCATAATTATTAGGGAAATCCCTGGGTTTCTGGATAGTAATGGACAACTAGGTGGTGCAGTAGATGGAACACTGGGCTTAGAATCAGGAAGGCTCATCTTCATGCATTCAAATCTGGACTCAAACACTTACTAGCTGTGTGACCCTGGGCAAGTCACTTAACTGTTTGCCTCAGTTTCGTCATCTGTAAAATGAGCTGGAAAAGGAAATGGCAAACCACTCCAGTGTCTTTACTAAGAAAAACCCCCATCAGGTCAGGAAGAGTCGGACACGACTGACATGATTAAACGATAACAACGGGCAGTAAGTCAGCTTGCCGGCTTCTAGGGCGAAAGCTTTAACCCAGTCTCACTGAAAACTGACTCCAGGCAACAGCATCATCGGAATCCTGTATCCTTAGGATAGCACTGGCCCTCAATCCCTAACAGGCAAATAATACTTTAACTACAGGAACCTCAAAGGGAAACCTTTATAAGAATAAAAATTCCATGCTCCACCACCTCTTTTTTATTATTCCTTAGGTCATGTTGTGGCGTTTTCTTCCTCAAGATATGTTCTGGGCTAGGCCTGACTCAGGTCAATGCCCTGGGAGTTTTATGGTTAGGATATTGCTTCTACCATAAAGGGAAAAGCCAGAAAACAGAAAAAAAAAAAAAAAAGAAGATGAAGAGTCAAAAAGTAATGACCGCAAGAAGAAAGCCAAACCTGTAAGTGATTTTCAAGGTATGACCCCAGAGTAGAGATGAAGTTTAGGAAGTAGCTAAGGAAGCATAAGTTCCATATGATGCGAACATTGACTAGATGGAGCAGTGGATAGAGTGTTAGGCCTGGAGTCAGAAAGACTTTCTGAGTTCAAATCTGACCTCAGACACTTACTAGCTGTGTGATCCTAGGTAAGTCCCTTAGCCCTATTTGCATCAGTGTCCTCATCTGTAAAATAAGCTGGAGAAGGAAATGGCAAATCATGACAGTATCTTTGCCAAAAAAAAAAACCCAAAACAAAAACCAAATGGGATGGCCAAGAGCTGGACACAACTGAAAACAACTGGACAGCAACCAAAGAAAGCCCAGGAGACATGCAGCATGTGCATAGCAAAGGTAAGCGGAACGGGTCATGGCTCGTAGGGGAGAACGGGCCCTGATGGCAGATCCAAGAGGGTGAGGCAATCTGTGCTGGAGGAGGGCCCAGGGTGGAGGCAAGGCTAATGAGGGGTAAACTGGGAAAAGGGAAAGAAGAGGAGAAGGGAGAGAGTGAGGAAATACCCTACAAGGGTTACACAGTGTAAGGCAGGGGTGGACCCTCTAGGTCCTCAAGTGCAGCTTTTTCACTGATTCCAGTGGTGCGAGATATCATATGCCTCTAGTTGATTAACATAAACTGCACTCATAAACTGTCCAAAGCTCAAACACCTAAAAAAGACTTAACATGCATTCATTAGCCTCATTACACCCCTACAGGCAAGCTATCAATTTACAAGCTTTCAAGAACATGGTATATAACCACTGACTTTTCAAGGTCATATGGCAGCTTGGCGACGGGTTTAAAAAAAAAAAACACAGAGCACTGAAGTAAGCCTCCCAGTCTTTTATTATTTCCAGGATACACTTAACAACAAATCGGCAAGGAAAATTCTATCATAAAGCTCTATTCATATCTCATGTTTCTTTGATTGGCCACAGAATGCATCCAGTAATAATCAATTATTAAATGAGAGCATTTGAAAAAGAATAAAAGTCTTCCTGATATAGTGGCAGGGGCCCTGGTTTGGGAGCCAGAGGAACTAGATGCAAATACAGATTTTCAACTTAGTTGCAAACTTAGTCTATGACCTGGAGAAAGTCACTCCAATTTCTCTGGGCCTCAGCTTCCCCAACTGTAAAATGAGGGACTTAGAGATGATCTCTAAGGTCCCGTCCATCTCTAAATCCATGATCCTTAGATCTAGCTTAAATCAAACTAAAGTTAAGTTGTCTGAAAAATTCCTTTGATTTTTTTTATTTCTGTGAGATATACATGTTTGTATATATGTGTGTATGTGTGTGTGTATGTGTGCATGTGCATGTACGTGAATTCTTCTGAGTTCCCCTCCCTCAGAGAAGGAATGGCTTGGGGAGTAAGCAGTGCCTGTTTTTGGAGTCTGACCCTCATACGGCATGGTCTCAAATCTCTTCACCATCCTGGTTGCCAACCTCTGGAAATCCCTCCATGAGTTTTTCAATGGCCTTCCTAAATTGTGGGGCTCAGAACTGAAAACAAAACTTCAGATGTCATCTGAGCAAAGCAGAAGACAGACCTACCACCTTTATTCTTGCAAGCTATTCCTCTTGTAAAATATAGCCCAAGCTCATATTTGCCTCTTTTGGTCTGTTCTTACACTACTGTCCTTTGAGCTTGAAATCCACTCAGATCCCGGGTGGAAGAGGGATCAAACCCCATGAGGACTTCCCCACACTAATAGGTCACATATTCTCCATATATATTGTCCCTATGCTAAACCTTAAACTTTATGAGGATAGGACTTAGGAATCTATACATCTCTTCTGATGCGCTACACATAATGGGCGTTCAATAAATGGTTAACAAATGAATCAACGAATGTGTTTTATAAACAGTTTATATTTCTATGTATATGTTCCCAATTACTATGATCTTACCTACATAATAATCATTGTGGGAGACAACGTACAGCTCATGTCCTTGATTTGCTTCTTCAAATACCTGTTCAAAGGATTTTGGTGGATTCACTATGTCTCTGGCATTGATCTCTGAAGGAAGAACAAATCAATGTGAAGAAGTAAAATCAATCCATTTAAAGATATTGTTAATGCATGAGAGAGAAGAGAAGAAGGGGAGGGAAGAAGAAGAGAAGAAGGGCAGAGAGAGAGAAGAGATAGAGAGTGGGGGAAGGAGGGAGGCAGAAGGGAGGGGAGAGGGACAGACAGGGGTAGAGACAGAGAGAGAGAGACAGAGACAGAGACAGACAGACAGACAGACAGACAGACAGACAGAGACCAAGGGAGGAGAGTGTGGAGAGGGGAGAGGAAAAAGGAAAGAGGGGACAGGGGACAGGGAGACAGAAGACAGGAGAAAGGAGAAGACACCGAAAGGAATATCTCAGAGGTGTTTCAACTTGTGCAAATAGCATAACCACTGACTGCCCATGAAGCCCAGGATGAATATCAATTTGTACCTTTAAGTTACAAACTATGCCACAGCCTCCCCCACGCCCTGGAAGACTAAGGAATCTCCAGACTAGCTGAGGCATCTTTGGATGTCTCTGGAATCTGTTTCAAGCCAAGCCATCTTCTTGTATATATCCAGGAAGACTGCTATATACAAGGCTGGCAGGCTATAGCCAGCCTAGCTGAAGCAGTAAGACTATCTAAGGGAGAGGAAGGCGCATATGCCAGGCAAGCCAAGCTCCCCCCCACCTGCCACTTCCCCCCCTCTACGTCAGACCCCAGTGGGAATAAATAGCCCCTAGGACTGGCAGCACCCTTTAGACCACAGGTCCTGTTTCCAGCCTCAGCCCCTACAGCAGCTCCCTGTGGAGAGGTGTCCTGTCACCTGCTTCTGTGGGACATTTGGCCAAAGCTACTGAAGACCCAGGAGAAAAAGTCTCAGCACCAAAGTGCTTGGCATGGCTAAAAGGTTCAGCACCCAAAACTGACAGGATTCTATTGGTGGAAATAACATTTAAGATGCATTGCCACTACACACTAAAAACCATGGGCACTTTCCCTCTGTGTTTTGTCCCTCATTAAACTGTGAGCTTCTTGAAGGCCAAGGACTGTCTTACTCTTCTATTTGCATATACAGTGCAGCACAATAAACAGAGCGAGTGCTTAATAAATTATTTTGTAATTCCTGGTTCAGAGCACACCGAATCAAAGAATAGCCCAAGATCCTCAAGGCCTCCCTGTTAAGCTCGGAACCTCAAGGGAGGTTCTGAGATGCTTTGGGTCTCTGAGGCTAACGTTGTAGGTCTGGCCTGGACTGACTGTGAACTCTTTGTGCGTCACCCTTTGTCGTTAAGGTGACCTAAGAGCCCAAGAAACTCACCGAGATCAAAAAGGGTTGGTTTGAGTTCAGGGGCCTTCCTGGTATCAGTAGTTCACTAATGTACCTATTTTTCCCTCATCCTCTCCAGCTTTTGTCTTTTTTGATGGGTGTGAGGTGGTACCCCCAAGTTGTTTTAATTTTCATTTCTCTATCGCTTTCCAATTTTCAGGAGCTCCTAATAATTTAGGTTTTCCATTTTTTGACCTTGTTACGTAGTGTTTGATCTTACATGCTTAAACACTTAAATGCATCAGGTTAAATAATTGCCCTGTCGATAAATCAGTTTGATAAATTTTAATTTCTATATATTTAAGTGAGGGAGGAGGGTGCTCCTGTAGTACTTTCTGCAGATAATATAATCATTTTGGCCCAGGAAACCATACTCTATCTCTTCCATTTCACAGCCAAAGATGACTTCATTCAGGGAAAGGGAAATGATGAAAACATACGCATCAATATGGCACAGGAAGAAGAGTTCTAGATTTGGAGTCAGAGAACATGGGCCTCAGTTTCTTTGCCTATAACCTGAAAGTGTTGTACTAAATGGACTCTGAAATCCATTCCAGCTCCAGACTTATGATTCTCAGGTCTTCCTCTTCATCCCAACAGGACGATCCTCCCATCTTGGAAGCAGGACCCAGGGCCTGGTAGATGCCTGCCACAACCATGCCCACAGGCTGGGGGCTTGACATAGATACCTGACCCCCTGTAATCTATCCCATTACACCAATCTTTGCATTCTTAACGATCACATACATTGTTTCTATACTCCACACACACCACAAATACATGACATTTCATCACACTTCTGAAGAGGATTTATGCTACTACTATTGCTTTTGTTACCTCTGAAGGTTGGTACTCCAAATGTTGTATTAACTGTATCAATACATTCAGGTAAATTTTGCGTTTGATCGTGGGACCTCCCTAATGGCGCTCTCCGATTACTGAAATAGAGTGATTCTTTCCTTTCCTTAAATCTTTGTAGAAATGTAGAAATAGGAGGTGGATTGACCAATGGACCTACCTTAAAGGAATCGTACATAACATGATTTTAAAACACTAAAGTAAAGATATGGGTCTAAAATATAATATTATTTTAAAATCTTAGTCTGTGAGGGAAAACATTTGGTAGTAGAGGTTATTAAAAAGCAAGAGAAATAGTCTGCTATTCTAAGTCTGATCTTCTCTCCTTGTGAGACATACCAGAGTTGAGACATGAGAAGGAGCATAACTTTCTGCCTGAACTTGTGGCTGTCAGTGAGCCCAGGAGCTCTAAGGTTCTATAGTGCAGCTCTCCAAATCACCATCTCATCAGCTCAGACATTCAGGGATACAGGGACTATGGTAGTGGCAGTAAAAACAGCCCCCACATTCCTAGAACTTTACAAACTCTTTCCAGATACTCTGCCATGATCTCTAATTCCAATTTGTCTACTAATTATATAACAAATAGCAAGCCTACTTTTACCCTGTCTCACCAACATATTTATATCCTAGGGAAAATAGATGTTTCCAAAGGTGTGTCTTCTCTTTCTCCTTCAGCAAAGTCTGAGGGAATCTCTTGTATTTCCTGGAAGGAAACGCAATGTCGGCGCCCTACTTAGGTATTCAGTCTATGGATGAATTCTAACACATTTCTCTATAATTCCTTTTCTGTTTGCTTTGGGATTTTTTGCTACTCAAGATTAACATGCTTTTCAGAGGATGAATGGAAAATCCCATTATACCAGTAGGATCAGGGGAAAGCTTGAAAACTAGTACCTAAATTTCATTGATCCATGATTTCTATATTTTCTACTTCAGAAGTTGAGAATTAACAGGAAAGAAAATTACCTTGAGTGATTTATCGCTTTTTTTACCATGTGTCAAATGAGAAACATCTGGATCATTTGCTCTGCCATAAAATATCCGTTCAGTACCAGGATCAGGATATCTGGCTTTATAAAACTTTCTCTCAGTGGGTGGAGTCAAAGGCTGACAGAGAGAGAAGTGGGAGAGGGAAAGAGAGAATTATTATGATTAAAAAACTTTTTAAAATTTAAAAAAACCAGGGGCAGCTAGATGGCTCAGTGGATAGAGGACCAGCCCTCGGGTCAGGAAGACCTGAGTTCAAATATGACCTCAGACACTTACTAGCTGTGTGACCCTGAGTGAGTCACTTAACCCCAAATGCCTAAAAAAAAAAAAAAGGAAAGAGAAAGAAAAAAAACACAATTTATAGTAATAGAATTCTATGACTGTAGTGTCTGTGTATAAAGCATAAATGAAAGTCTTGGTTGTATCTCTTTTCCATCAGTGGATCCTCTCTCTTCATCTACAAACATGCTCAGGTGTCCCCAGCCTAAAAAGAAACCTAACTTCATCCTATACCCTTTGACCTTCTCCCATTATTGTTTTGCCAAAAAATCCCTTGAAAGAATTGTGGAATATGTGAGCTGTCTACCTTTTCATCAATCAACTCACTTCTTAGCCCCTTAGAATCTAGTCTTCAACACCACCATTATATTAAAAATCTCTCAAGTCTGTAAGGGGTGTCCTATTGGCCAAATCCAACTACTTTCCCCTCTTCATCTCCCCTGACCTACAGTGTGAAACCACTTTTCTCCTTAAAACAGTAAGCTTTGCGAAGGTAAGGACCTCGGCTTTGAAAATCATTCCTATCGATCACTTTAAAGATTTACAAAATACTTTTCTTGCAGTGACTTTGTGAGGTGTAGCAGTACATTTTTTTAATTGTCCCAATGATTTATTGATTTAGGGAATTCCCTGGTGAGGAAATCCCCTTAACTGATTCCTACTCAGAACTGTTCCACAACTTATATTCTAATACAAACATAGTTAGTTCCATATTACAGGTGATGAAATTGAGGCTTGGCAAGGTTCAGTGCCCAGCCTCACAAAAACAGTAAAACACAGAACCAAGGCATGAATCTGATGCCTTCTGACTCCAGGTCAGGCATTTCTTCCCGTTATTTCCCATTTCCTAATTCCTAATCTTGTTCAATGTCCTCAACATAGTAGCTTGTCTGAACTAAATAGAAAACTCTCTCCTTTTTTTTTTTAAAGGCAACTGGGGTTAAGTGAGTTGCCCAGGGTCACACAGCTAGTAAGTGTCAAGTGCTTGGTCTGAGGCCAGATTTTAACTCAGGTCCTCCTGACTTCAAAGCCGGTGCTCTATCTACTGTACCAGCCAGCTGCCCCCTAGAAAACTGTCTCTTGGCAGCTAGGTGGCACAGTGGATAGAGCACCGGCTTTGGAGTCAGGAGGATCTGAGTTCAAATTTGACCTCAGACACATAACACTCACTAGCTGTATGACCCTGGGCAAGTCACTTAACCCCAATTGCCTCACCAGAAAAAGAAAAAAAAAACCTGTCTCTTCCCTTGGCTGCCTGGTGCTACATTAGCCAGGTTCTTCCCCTAACTCTGATCACACCTGGTCTCTAATTCCTCCCTCCTTGGCCCTTTTCTTTCTGTTACCTCCGAAAGGGGAGCCTTTCCCAAGACACAGGCACATATCTCTGACTGCTCTGGTCTATGTCTCTACTGCAGTTCCCATCTGTAGAGCAAATTCAGCAGAAATAGAATTACTTATCATCTTTCCCCAAATAAGTTCCCCCACTGTCAGCTGGTTTTGGCTGGTGTTTTAATTTGTGACAAGGGGGACCAGGATGATGGAGGAAAACAAAAGGAATCAACAAAGCTTTTTTACAATAACATTAATATACTCTTGCACCCCCTTTGAGTCTACCTAAACACAATGCAAGCCTAAAATATTATATATTATACATATAGTGTATATATAAAGAGAGAGAGCATGTGTATATATCTATGTTTATAAAAAAAAGTTATAGAATTAATTATTTTTAGTGTTACCATTTTCTGTTAAGTATCAACCATAAGAGCTTAGAGGCCATATAATACAAGCCCCATTTTACGATGAGGGGCTTGAAGTCAAGAGAGTGAAAGTATAAAGACATACAGATGTGCAAGGCAAGATTTCAAGAAGTAGAGACTACCATCAGTATGAGTCAGAGGCAAGACCTAAACCCAGACTCCATATTCCAATATCCTCAAGCCAAGGCCAGCTCTCTATCTAATGTCACATTACCAAAAAAAAAAAATTTAAATAAAACTATGAAATCCTGGGATCATAGGATCACAGATTCTCCTGAGGAAAGAACCTCAGAGCACAGCCAGTTAATCCCCTCATTTTCCAGAGAACTAAACTGAGGCCCAGGAAGTGGTGATTTTTCCAGTCCAGGAGTAGGGAACCTTCGGCCTCCAGGCCACACATGACCTTCTAGGTCCTTGGGTGCAGCCTTTTGACTGAGTCCAAGTTTTACAGAACAAATCCTTTTATAAAGGGGATTTGTGCTGTGAAGCATGGATTCTGTCAAAGGGCCTCACCTGAGGTCCTGGAGGGCCAGGTATGGCCTCCAGGCTGCAGGTTCCCCACCCTTGCATAATCCCACACCTTTATTTTGCAGATAAATAAATTTAGGTCCCAAGAGGCTAAGTACTTGAGCCAGAACTGGAATGGTAGGCCTCAAGCCAGCGCTCTTTCTCATTGCACCTTGAGTTCTAGTATGTTTGGAAGCCTCGAGTCACCTTCACCTCTGGCCAAACTGCTAGAAGAGGAAAGCCTCTAAATATTCCCAACATTCTCTTTATATAAGCTTAAGGGAGAATACTGAGAGTCAACTAAATTTTCTTAAGGTCATATCTAAGGCAAAGAAATAAACATGTATCTATTGACAACACTCACTGGAGGCCATTTTTCAGTCAAACAGGTTTCAGCTCTGTATCCAATTGGAATAAGCTTCCCTGCCTAAAGAAGAGGGAAAAAAGTAAGAGATGAAAACTAGAAATATTAGCACTGTCAGGAATGAAAGTGGCTTTGGAACTTGGCCTGGGCCTGTGTTTTCAAGGGAGTCATGATCCCAAGTAAAATTTAAAAATAAATAAATTAATTAATTAATTAGTTGTGTATGTCTAGATACCCATATATACTAGTATATCTTCATAGAATCTCAAATCATAGCATACCCTCCTTAAGAAGGACATAATGTCACCAATGTGACATTAAACGATAATAAACAATGAAGGGAAAAGTACTTTTTTCAATTACTTTCTGGGTCTAGAACGGATTTTCACTCAAGGACTATAGACATGGAAGGGACATCGGAGGCCATGGGAGTCCAATCTCCTCACCTCAGAGATGAGAAAAGGGAAGCTCAGGGAGGTTTATGAACTTGACCAAGGTCACACAAGAGGTGGGCATTAGAGATGGCATTTGAACCTAAGGCTCCTGAAGGATTCTAGAGCCAGAGCTCTAACAATGTGAACACCATTTTTCCTCTGGCTAGACTTAAATGTGTCCTGTTATACACCAGTGGGGCTGAAAGAAAGGGAGAACATTAGCAAGACAAGTGAGAAGGATAATGGGAAATATGGAAAAAATGCTGGGAAAATGAGGAGTGGGAAAGTAAATATCTAATATGGGGGAAGTGGAGAGAGAAAAGCTTTTGGTAGGTTTTTAAAGGAGAACAAGGCACGTGTTCAAAGATGGGTGATCAGAAGAAAGTACATAGGGCAACATGCAAAAGGTGCATTATAAGGGGCATAAAGCATATCATCAAAAGAAATATGTGATTGGAAGAGGCAGATCCTTCATGGAGTCAGAGGAAGTGATAATAGAAAGAACATAAGTGCTGTACTGATGCATTCAAAAGGTTAAAAGACCTAAAGGACTCTAACATACCCAGTATGGAGGGGTAATGAGAGGACATGGGCAAGAATCAAATACGGAGGTTCACATCTGCAAAGTGGAGAGACTACCCCACTAGGGAACTGATGGATCATGTCAGTAACCAAGAAACAGAGGTCCAATATGGGAGAGGATGTTGGGAGGCAAAGGAATAACATAAAATTTCTACAAAATAATAACTGGTGTCCATAAACCACAGTCGCATACCAGTGTTCAAATTTAATAGTAATACTAAGTACGCTAGTGGTCCCAGAGAAAGGTAAGGGGAAGGAGGAAGAAAGGAAGGAAGTGCGTGTGAAAGAGAACTCAGAACTCACACATGGCCAGCTAGGATTACGGTCAAAAAATTTCCCACGATAAATGGGTCTGATATTATCTGGAGGCTCCACTCCCGGTTCCAAATCCTTCGGAAGCTTGGGAGGTTCTTCGGGCTTCGTCTTGAAGATGTATGCTGGTGGTTTTATCACCAGCCCTACCGGGTCCTCGCTCTCGGGTTCCAAGTTACGCATCACCCTACTGGGCAAGCCAATCTCCGAGCCGACTGGGGGCTCCTCCTCCTCAGAGGCTCCCAAGTTCTCAGGGCAAGAGATCTTCGCTGAGAGCTCACTCACTAACCCCATGTCGGGCTTCGGACAAAAGGGGGCTTGCCTGGCCAGCTTCTCCTGCATTTTCTCCAGATCCCTCGGGTCCCTCTCGATGTCCCTGGCCGTGGGGGGCCGGGTTGATAATCCCAAACCACTCCTCATGCCCAGGGCAGCATCTGTCTCCATCGGGGGCTGCATGTCACTCAGGAGGCTTGTGCCCTTGGTGCAGAGAAGCCCCATGGGGCGCAGCTCCCTGCACTGGCCCCCGCCTTTCTCCACGTAAGGCAAGTTATCCCCCTCCAGGCAGCATTTCGAAGACTGCACAAACTGGGCCTTCGGGCACGGGGGAGGCGAGATCTTCAGTGCGGGCAGCCGTGGGGGATTGACCGACCCCACCGTCAAGCCTTTCTCTGGGCTAAGAGCTGTCCTTATTCCCTTGGGGTTATTCAAGACCTCTGAGACCTCCATCGCCCTGGGGCTTCCCATCTCCGCCGAGGGACCGGAGTCTGATTGGGGCTCCATGACCGCAGCCTCGGGTCTAGGGATATGAACTCACTGCCCTCCAATCCCGGGGCGCACGAAATGGCCCAGAGAATAAGGGAGAGTCACTGTTTAAACCGGTTACCTAGGGAACGAGGGCGGGGCTTGGTGTGTTCCGCCCCCTCGAGCCAGTTTTCCTTTCTCTCCTAGTTCTGGGCCTTTTGCGAGCGTTCCGTTGCAAGAGGAAAAGGAGTAGCTTACCTGCTCCCCGCCGGCTGCCGGGGACAGGATGTCTCTGAGCCGCTGTTTCTGTCCTCTGAAGGGGTCAGTGCTTGGAAAGGTGCTGACCTCCTATGACTTCTCTAACATATGGGCCTTTTGGAAAGTTCATAGATTCAAAGGTTTAGAACTGGAAGGGACATTTATGGGCAGTGAAGCCCAACTCCCTTATTTTACAAATGAGGAAACTGAGGCACAAAGTGGTTAAGTGACTTGCAACCAGGATCACACGGCTAGTAAGTGTCTACGATTAGATTTAAAACCAGGTCTTCCTGACTCCGAGGGTAGCGCTTTTCTCCACTGCTGTTCACTGCCTGTTACAGAATAAGTGTTTTGACTCGATTGGTGAGAGACAGTGAAGGTGTCACTTAGAAGCATAGCTTTTTAAGCAACACTCCTTTCTCTCAATTGGAATTGTTTGTATTTCCAGAACTTCATTTTTGAGAGCTTCCCATCTCTCCTGGGCTAAAATCTGCTTTCCCAGAATTTAAGGTACATGTCAGACTATATACCCAGATCTCTTCTTTAGTTCTATTCCAAATTCAAAGATGTTCCCTTCACCATCACTCCAACAATCAGTTTTCCTTATTGGTGAAGGTTAGTTTTTCACATTTCTGGGTATGGGAGGGGAGAAATCACAGGATAGGGATACTAAATTTGCATCAACATTTTTATAAAGCTAGCACACATTTGCTTTGCATCAGGAATTCCAGAGCTGAAAGAACAAGCCTCCTGCCCATGAAAAAGGTACTAGATTTGGAGTCTGGAGACCTGGGTGGAAATTCTGTCATATTGTAATGAAAAGGTAAGGTGGAAAATGCTTAGATGTTCCACTCTGAGCCAAAAGTTCCAGTAGACGTCTAGATAACTGAAGTCTTCCAACGCTAACATGTCATATCTCCACGTCAATCATCTAATGCTTCCTAAAGGCCTCATCTTTTCCCTCATCCTCTTCAGCTGGTCTGTAGCATATTCCTATGATAGAATCACTTCTACTCCTGGCTCATTTTATCTTGGCCCAGAAAGTCTCCCCTAACAATCCAATCAACAAACATTTATTGAATACTTACCATGTGCCAGGCACCGTGCTAAGTGCTAAAAAGATACAAAGAAAAAGCAACAACAGTTCCAGCTCTCAAGAGACTTATATTTAATTGGGGGAGACAATTTATAAATGACTACCTACATATAAGACACACAGAGAAATAGGTAAAAGGTAACCTTAGAGATGAAGGCACTAGAAGCTGGGGCTGCCAGCACAGGCCTCCTAAAGAAGTAGCATTTGATCTGAGTCTTAATTGCAGCCAGCAATTCTAAGAGGTTGGGAAGAAGGGCATGCCAGAGGCATGGGGAACAACAGCAAGGGCAAAAGTAGGGAGACTGAAGATAGAATGTCCCGTATTTTAGGAATAGCATGTATGCCAGTACATCTGAATCATAGACTGCATTAAAGTGTTTAAGATTAGAAAAGTGGGAAGGTGCCAGTCTGTAAAGAGCTTCAAATGTCAGACAAAGTACTTTACATTTAATCCTGGGGGTAACAGTGAGATACTGGAGTTTAATGATTAGAGGGTGGTGTGGTCAGATCTATGTTTTAGGAAAATCACTTTAGCAGGTGTGAAGACTTTGGGCTGAGGAGTTAAGGAAAGGAGACTAATTAGAAAACTATGAAAGAAAGAAAGAAAGAAAGAAAGAGAGAGAGAGAGAGAGAGAGAGAGAGAGAAGAGAGAGAGAGAGAGAGAGAGAGAGAGAAAGAAAGAAAGAAAGAAAGAAAGAAAGAAAGAAAGAAAGAAAGAAAGAAAGAAAGAAAGAAAGAAAGAAAGAAAGAAAGAAAGAAAGAAAGAAAGAAAGAAAGGAAGGAAGGGAGGAAGGGAGGGAGGGAGGAAGGGAGGGAGGGAGGAAGAAAACAATATACACAATGACTATAATCATATAAATAAAAAGAATAACCACCAAAAAAAAAAACCTGAAGCAAATGTTGCAAAATTACAAAAAACAAGAATGTCCTCAAGAGAACTGAGAATATACTTCCCCAACATTTTTGCAGAGGTGAAAGGTACATGGATGTGGAACATTGTTTTTCAGATACTGATTGTTTTTGCTCACTGTTTTTTTCCCCTTCTTCCTCTCTTTTCTTTCTTTCCTTTTTTTCTACTTTTTTATTTTTTCCCAATTGCATATAAAAACAATTTTGACATTTTTTAAATTTTGAGTTCCAAATTCTCTCCCTCCCTCCCCTCTCCCCTCATTGAGAAGGCAAACAATTTGATATAGGTTATACATGTACAGTCACACAAAATATACTTTCATATTAGTCATGTAAAAGAAAACACATACAAAAAAAACAAAAAAAGTTTTTAAAAGTATGCTTCGATCTACATTCAGACTCCATCAGTTCTTTCTCTGGAGGTGGATAGCATTTTTCATTATAAGGCTTTGGAATTGTCTTAGATCATTGTATTGCTGAGAATAGCCAAGTCATTTACAGTTGATCGTTAAACAGTATGGCTGTTACTACGTACAATGTTCTCCCAGTTTTTCTTATTTTACTTTGCATCAGTAAGTCTTCCCAAGTTTTTCTGAAAGCATACTGCTTGTCATTTCTTATAATATAATTGTATTCCATCACTATCATATACCACAGCTAATAAGTCATTCCCTATTTCATGGGCATCCTCTCAATGTCCAATTCTTTGCCACCATAAAAAAGCTGCTATAAATATGTTTTACATTCAGGTACTTTTACCTTTTGCTTTTATCTCTTTGGGATACAGACCTAAAGTGGTCTACTGCTGGGTTAAAGGGTATGTACAGTTTTATAGCCCTTTGGGCATAGTTCCAAATTGCTTTCCAGAATGGTTGAATCCGTTCACAACTCCACCAACAGTGTATTAGTGTCTCAATTTCCCCACATCCCCTCTAACATTGATCATTTCTTTTTTTGGTCATATTAGTCAATCTGATAGGTGTGGGGTCGTTTTACTTGAGTTGTTTTAACTTGCATTTCTCTAAACAATAGTAATTTAGAACATTTTTTCATATAACTATAGATAGCTTTGATTTCTTCATCTGAAAACTTCCTGTTTATATCCTTTGATCATTTCTCAACTGGGAAATTATTTGTATTCTTATAAATTTGACTCAGTTCTCTATATATTTGAGAAATGCAGTCTTTATTAGGAAACTTGCTATAATTTTTTTCACAGTTATGATTACTGTATGTTCCCTCCATCCTTCCCCCACCCTTTTATCCTATTCTCTCTCTCCTTTCACCTGTCCCTCTTCAAAAGTGTTTTGCTTCTGACTACTGCTTCCCCGAATCTGCCCTCCTTCTATCAGTTGCCACTCCTTCTCTTATCCCTTTGCCCTCCTACGTTGCTATAAGGTAAGCTAGATTTCTATACCCAACTGAGTGCATATGTTATTCCTTCTTTGAGTCAATTCTGATAAAAGTAAGGTTCAAGTTCCTCCCTCCCAAATTCCCTATATTCCCCTCCACTGTAAAAGCTCTTTCTTGCCTCTTATGTAAGATAATTTACTCTATTCTACCTCTCCCTTCTCCTAATACATTCCTCTTTCTCACCCCTTAATTTTATTTTTTTAGATATCATCCCATCATATTCAAGTCATAGTTATGCCCTCTCCCTATGTATACTCCTTCTAACTGTCCTAATAATGTTAAAGTTCTTAAAAGTTACAAGTATCATATTCCCATGTAGAAATAGACACCATATAACTTATTGATTCCCTTATGATTTCTCTTTCCTGTTTACCTTTTTATGCATCTCTTGAATCTTGTATTTGAAAATCAAATTTTCTATTCAGCTCTGGTCTTTTCATCAGAAATGCTTGAAAGTTTCATTGAATGTCCATTTTTCCCCCTAAAGGATTTATACTCAGTTTTGCTGGGTAGGTGATTCTTGGTTGTAATCCTAGCTGCTTTGCCCTGTAGAATATCATATTCCAAGCCCTCTGATCCTATAATGTAGAAGCTGCTATATCTTGTGTTATCCTGACTGTAGCTCCACAATATTTGAATTATTCCTTTCTGGCTGCTTGCAATATTTTCTCCTTGACCTGGGAGCTTTGGAAATTGACTGTAATATTCCCAGGAGTTTTCATTTTGGAATCTCTTTCAGGAGACGATCAGTGGATACTTTCCTTGATTCTAGGATATCAGGGCAATTTTCCTTGATAATGCTTTTTGGTTCTTGTTTTTGTTTAAGGACTTTCATGTAGCCCAATAGTTCTTAAATTATCTCTCCTTGACCTATTTTCCAGGTCAATTGTTTTTCTAATGAGATATTTCACATTTTCTTCTATTTTTCATTCTTTTTTATTTTTTTAAGGCAGTTGGGGTTAAGTGACTTGCCATGGGTCACATAGCTAGCAAGTGACGAGTGTTTGGTCTGAGATCAGTTTTGAACTCAGGTCCTCCTGACTTCAGGGCCAGTACTCTATCCCAATTCTAATCTTTAAGGAATTATTTTCTTCAGTAAGCTTTTGTACCTCCTGTTCCAGTTGGCCAATTCTACTTTTTAAGGAGTTTTTTTCTTCAACGGATTTTTGTACCTCTTTTTTCCATGTGGCCAATTCTGCTCTTTTTTGTTTGTTTGTTTTTATTTTTGGTTTTTTTGTTTGTTTCTTTTTGCTTTTTGATGAGGCAATTGGAGTTTAGTGACTTGCCCAGGGTCACATAGCTAGTAAGTGTCAAGTGTCTGAAGCCATATTTGAACTCAGGTCCTCCTGACTCCAAAGCCGGAGCTCTATGCACTGCACATCCTACCTACCCTTCAATTCTGCTTTTTAAGAAGTTCTTTTTGGGGTA